GAGTGGGCAGTGTCAGAGCCTTGGCCGGGCTCTGACCTGGTGTTGCTAAAGGCACACGGGAACTGTTGGTTGGGGGCCAATGATCCATCCGACTTAAAAGGATGAGATACATCTCCTAAGCTGGAGCAGATCACAAGAACTCTTTCATTTCATTATCGTCACTCTCTTCGTTTCCCTTCTTGGGACAGTCACTCTTTTTGTCTTCTGCAAAGACAGTCATTCTTTAGATTGCTTCAATCCTATACCTTCATTTCACTCATACGACCAATACGACCAAAGATCTAGTTCAAGATGGTTAACCCTCTCCACAATGGAGTGGCCACCGGTCTCTTGGCTTCCTTCCTCATCCAACAGGGTCTGGCTTTAGAACTGACCGCATTCAACCCTTCTACAACAACGAACACGCAGGTCAAGGTGGCGGCGGCTGGAGCTGAAATTCAAACTCAGGACTATTCCAGCATTGATCTGCGAACCAGTCACTCGTTCTACTGGGGTGGTAAGTGTACAACTATTGGCGCTCGACTATACAACGAAATGGCTAACATGCTTGGAATAGCTTCTAGCGGTGGCGGGTCCACCTTGGGTAACCTGACTCTTGTGGACGAAAGCATTCTCCCCATGGAGTCTTTCAGCGATATGCTGGAGAACATTCAGTGCACCAACTCGAGTATTACCTTGGGCTTCTCAGACTCAGATGCGTTCTCCTATGCGAAGAACTCGTGGACTTGGGTGAACAAGGCCGCCAACAACTCGTTTCTTATGGTGGCTGGTGTCCAGCAATGTAGCTGGAACACCCAACGTGTTCCTTTCGTCATTACGGCTGCCAACTTCCAAGACAACTCTACAGTACGGTTGGCCGGCAAATCGGCGACCTGGGACGATGTTCTTAGGAACCATGAGATTACCATTGGCAAGGCCCCGAGTGACATGGCAGTCGAGCTCACCAAGCGAGGCATAACTTCAGGAACTAAGTCTGGTTCGATCAGTATTGACAAAACCGCGTCCGACAAATCCGTGAAGATCTTCTCGAAAGACGACCTCACCCTCAGCGCTGAATGCAAATCGTGCGGGACTAGTGGTGAATTTGACGTTGAATTCAAGTACAAAGTGAAGCCGAGTGGCAGCGGTCTCTTCAGCGAGATCGGAAGCGCATTTTCTGGAGATTGGGATGTCGAGACCGCGGAACTTACGCTTACACCGAAAGATGTCGAGCTAGACATCACTCCTGCTCTGGATCTGAGCGGAAACCTGACCAAATCCTACTCGGATGAAGCGCAGATTGCTGCATTGACCCTTGAGGGAATTAAAATCCCAGATGTCTTCACCCTGGATGTGCAGCTTGCTTTCGACATCGGAGCCAGCGCTGGACCCGTCAATGGCGATGCGTCCATCTCCTACCCCATGAAAATCTCGCTTGACAATGATGCAGAGGCTGTTCTCGACATTGCGAACAAGAAGGTCACCCACAAGGACTGGACCCCGACCATCACGACTTCTGGCGTCCAACTTGATGCTGAGATCGATGCTACTCTTGAGGCCTATGTCAAGGCTTCCCTTGAGTTGGTCCTTTCTGTCGGCAGTACGTACAACGATCCTGAGTATATTAAAGTTGCAACGCTAATCCTCTCTAGAAAAATGGGGATACGAAGCCGGTATCTATCTCAAGCCCTACCTAGCAGTAGACTTCACTGCCGAAGCATGTGAGTGAACTGACAAGACCTGGTCTATGGTAGCCTCTGCTGACAACATGTAGCCACGAGTGGCACTTGCTCGGACACGTCCAAGAACTACCACTATGCGATCGAAGTGGAGCCTTATGCTGGAATCGAGCTCGGCGCGGAGGTGGCTAAAGTGAGCGACGAGGGTAACCCGATTGCGGATGCCACTCTTGCAGTAAGTCGAGCCTAGCGGCGGGCGAATATGCGCTTGGAGAGCCTAGCTAACCCCTTCGCAGTCCTTTACCAAGGCCATGTCGTCAACCTGCATTGGTTTCGACAGTATCACTTCGACCAAGACTGCCACTTCCACGAAGACCAAGTCGACTGATGAATCCTCGTCCGACGATGAGACTTCTACCAAGTCCAAGTCCAAGTCTAAGTCCAAGTCGTCCACCAAGTCATCCTCCAAGTCGGCCTCCAAGTCGGCTTCCAAGACCAAGTCTCACCCTAGCAGCGCATCTGCATCTGCTACTCCAACCGGCCACTCTTCCACCCACAAGCACACCTCCAGCTCCACCAAGTCTTCGGAAACCAGCAAGTCCACCATCACGTCGTATCCTAAGACCACCTCGGCCAAGGCCACGAGTTCCCACGCGGCTGCCAGTTCTTCTGCTCACAGCGTGCACAACCACGGCCGCAGCTTCAGACAGCATGGCCGTATCTAAGCAGCTTCATGGAAGTTATGAGCTGATGCTGTCTCTGACAGTTACCTTCATGTTATGATTTCATTTCTTGTCCGTGTGTGCGCATGCAGACAAACTGTACTATTTATTATAGATTATTTGATTGGATGTAAAGTTGAACTTATACGTTAGTGTAATGAGATTAGTTAAAGAGTTACAACGGCTTCACAGCAATTTATTCATATAGACTACCTACATATGTTCGGATCTTGACTTTCCTTTTGTAGCTCGACGATGTATATGATTTGAGTAAAATTTGGGTCCAGCATCTGGCGATTTGCACACTTCGCTGCCGATTTGAGCAATGTGGCCATACTTGTAGTAATATCAACTATATAGCACCAGGACACTTGAATTTATTCACAAATAATGGTGTCTACACCACGTGTTCAACAGCTGTATAGGGTGTAAGTTAGTAGGGCGGCCACGATCACGTGCAAAGCCCGGAGCTCCGCCATCTCCGCCTCAGGATCCAGCATATCGGTGCCTCACTTGCCTCTGCTTCACAATCTCACTCATTCCCAACAACAACACGCCCAGCAATGGCATCCCATCAACTCGCCATTGCCAAGGCCTCCTTCTCCGCAGGGCTTCTACGTCCAGACCCGACATCCGTCGCGCGCGACGAAATCACAGCCTTTCACACCAGCCTAGACCGGGCGCTATCGCATTGCACCCCGGCAAACATCCAGGTTTGAACCGATGCGTCCTTAACCACTGGCGAATACACCAGAAGTACTAAAATGATTTTCTCTCTTGCGCGCCCCCTAGACCTGCAAACAATGGCTCCTGGAATACGTCGTCTCGTCAGGTAACCGCGTAGGCGGATGGGCCAAATACCTAGCTGCGTTGTCTGGATCATTCGAAACATCATCCACACCATCGCCGGCCGAGAGTGGTGGGAAAAGGTCGACATCGACATCTGGCAAGCGGAAACGCCTCCATATCCTATTTTTGCTGAATGATGTGCTCCACCATACGAAATACCACCTGGATACGAGCGCCGCGTTCAGCACTTTGAGCGGATCGCTGCAACCGCATGTGGTCGAGCTGTTGGGCTACGCGGCGTCGTACGATCGCGAGAAGAACCCGAAACATCATCGTCGGTTGGATGAGTTGCTGGATATCTGGGAGGAGAATCGCTATTACGGCAGTGATTATGTGAATAAGCTACGGGAGGTGGTTAAGAATGCTTCGGTGTCGGGTCCGGTCAAGACGTCGCTGAGTGTCGAGGAGAGTAATTTGGATTTCGCGGGAGCTGGTGCGAAACCAATGCCCTCGGGCAAGGATGTCCCGTTCGTTATGCCGGCTACGCATGGTGATCCGTCTATGCCGTACTACGATCTACCTGCGGGAAACCTCGTTCCGCATATTATCCCGGATTCGACGGTGCCGCTGCGACCGGACACAATCAAGCCGCTGCAGTTCTTGGCTGGGCCGGCGGACGAGAATCTTGTCGTGGCGCTGAAGAAGTTCATGAAGGACGTGGATCGGATATATGGGACAGGAGAGCCGGAGCATGAAGAGGACGAGGTGGTGGATATCGATGATCTCGGCCAGGTGGTCGTTCGCGATGCCGATGGGGAAGTAATCGAGGGAGAAACATACTACGGATGGTCACGATCATTTTGCCAGCAGATGAAGAAGCGCCAGGCAAAGGGAGACATGAGTCGCAGCCGGAGCCGCAGTCGCAGCCCCGTCAAGCGGCGACGATACAGCGACAGTGCCAGCGACTGGAGTTCGCGCTCACGATCACGAACTCGTTCACCGCAACGCAGATCACGCCGGCGTGATTCCCGATCCCGAACACGATCTCCGTACCGACCTCGCAGTGCATCCCGGTCCAAGTCGCGGGAGCGATCCAAATCCTATTCTCCGCGTCCGCCAGCTCCCCGATCCATCCCTCCTCCGCCTGAATACCATCATCAACAACAACCTCAATACCCACCACCACACAATGCATATGGGAATGCACCACCACCGCCCCCTCCGGCTCCGGTAGGATATCATGCACCACCACCGCCTCCACCGCAAATGGGGTATCCCCCGGCCGGCGGCGTACCACCGCATTTCGCTTTCCCGCCGGGAGGACCGGCCCCGCCTCCGCCTCCGCCACCGAACTATCAGGGTGCTTGGCCGCCACCGCCTCCGCCTCCGATGAACCTCGGGGCGGCACCACCACCGCCGCATGCTCCGCATCAAGGTTCACATTTCCCACCGCCATACGGACAGGGTCAGTATGTGCAGCAGATGCCACCGGGGTCGTATCATTTCCCTCCTCCTCATCCAGGAAGTCATCCCGGAAGGGGAGGATGGTATGGTGGAGGAGGGGGAAGAGGACAGGGATGGCGCTGATATCACAAGATTGCTTGTACTATACTGACTGATATAACACCACATTATGCCATATGCCATATATCATTAATGAACGACAGATGACAGTCAATTGATCAACCCTACATACATAAAATTATAACATATCACATCCTAATAGTAACGTAACCCATGTACTGTACCAGAACCAATCACAGATAAGAATCCCTAAACCCTACCTACCCTTTCAAACATACAACTCTCCCTCGAGACTTCATCAGTCGCACTAGCTAGCACCAGCAGACGCAGACGCAGACGCACTCGCCGAGGCACTCGCACTCGCAGAAGCAGAAGCAGAAGCCTGCGCCACCAACATACTCTCCCTCTGCTTACTATCATTAATAGCATCATTCTTATCCTTGATCGCATCGTCATACGGCTTACAAGCCGACGAAACAGGCTGTGATGATCCTTCAGACTGTAGACATTGACATATTAGCATCATACCCACACCCACTCCAACAAACCCAAATCCAAATGAAAAGAAAGGGATAGATAAACATACATTCGGCTGCCCATCACAACACATAACCTGATGTTTACACTGATCATTCGGCGTATCGTCTTGCATTCCAGTACCTATGCCGTCACCAAGACCACCCATCATTAGCCATCAATCCACATCCACCACCCCAAAGGGATACTTGAAATACTTACAATCCAACCCCAACACCGAATTAACATCAATCCCCCCAATCCAAGGAATCAACATCCCCAAGGGCTGGGTAATCTGCGACGCGATATCATTGATAGATTCGCAGCATTGTTTTGACCGTTGAGAGGGCGGGCACGTGGAGTTGTTGGAGTCCGTTAGGGTTTCGTTGACGATGATTTTGGCGATCGCGGCGGAGAGACCTTCTGGTGTGTCGAGGGCTGAGGGGGTTGATGATGAGGTGGATGGGGAGGTGGTGCTGGAGGATGGGGAGAGGGGAACGCAGGTTGTTAGGGGGGTTAGGATTGTTATGGTTATGGTTATTAGGGTGGTTAGGGTGAGGGGGTGATGCATTTTGGTGGAAGACTTCTTTGTGACTTTTGTATATAGTATATTTTGTTGGGTTTGGGGAGTAGATGTGTGTGGTGTGGTGTAGTGGAGGATGAGGGATGTGTTTGTGTGTATATAGGTGGTGAGTGAGTTCAGGGATAGGATAGGAGGGTAGGGGATAGGGATGGGAAGGGGATATATCCTGTGTCTCCCTCGTTGCCTGGCAGGCTGGAACAACAACATTCCAGGGGATACTTAATCTAAGTTGACTCTGGATTGGAATGGTATGGTATGGTCTCCAACAGGGTTGATGGAATGCGGATGCGACTCCCCGTTGGTCCGTCGGCTGTCTACAGTCTACAGTCTACACTACAATTCTTGCTGCAGACTGGCTGATAAGTATCCGAATACTTAGATACTGTGCACCCGTGCAGCTGCTTCTCGCATGGCTATATCTACCCAACACACTCACTGCAGGAGCAAAGTACGCAAGGGATATGAGTCATGATTCAGAAACCGTGCATTAGTAGATACACCAGGACCAGCCTTAAATCAAAGGACGATAGTAATACACCAGAAACAAGGAAGAAGAAAAAAAAACAGGAAAGGCTACTATGCCAATGGCCGCATATATTCATGCGCTGCTCTCTGCACTACATGAACAGCACAAAGTGAGAGTGAGTGACGAGGGTCAGACAAAACAAAAAGCCAGGGCTGGCAGACCTAAAAGTCCTCTCAGCGAACATAAGTCGATGTCAGAATTGGTGTTTAATACCAAGTCGTTGTCAACTCAAGTCGTTCAATTCGAGGTACTGGTGGAAAAGAAAAGAAAATAACAAATCAAACACACATGCTGTAGGGTCTCACGGAGCCTTGGCTCGGACGTCGCCCGTTTCTATGAATCGCTTCGCCATCGCTTTCGAAATCAGAGCGCGCTCGCTTGTCAATCATAACGCCGGGAGAACACGTCAAGCTTGTCTTCGGCGACGTGCCTCCCCAGATTGCCCACAGACTCCACCGTAAAACGTAATTCGTGAACTCGTCCCCAGGCCAGATGAGGGAAGTAGCCATTACAGCAACCCCTTCCCCACCCGGATGCGCCTTCAGAAGGACAGGTCGGCCGAGTTCACGCCGGACTCGCGTCTGGCAGATTCGGAGCTATCGTGAGCCGCTCCAGTCGTGCCGGCAGCTTGACGGGCAAGCATACCGCTGGTCGAGGTGCCGCTGTTGCCGCTGGTTTGGCTGCTGCGGCTGCTTCGGCTGGACCCCTTTCCATCATCGAGGTCGGCAAAATCCGCCATGCGGCGTTGGGTGTATTCGAGCATGACTCGGCTGTAGTCCTCGACGGACGAGTTGGGGTCGGCAGCTCGACCTGTCTCAAGATGGTCGCCGGGAGGGCGACAGCCCTCGCCTCCGGTAGGGGGCATCGAGTGGTATTCGTCGTCATGCACAGCAGTGGCCATCTTGTTGTCTAGACAGGAGGTCAGCCATGTCCAACCGCCGTAAATAGCTACGATGCAAAGCTGGTTCAGAGAACATCATCGTTGATACGGAAGAGCCATCATGGTCAGATGATCTGTCGACATCACGTATAAGGGTGAGACCAGTGCATCAAGGAATATCCCTTTCCATGCCTGTACGGCAACAGACTGCGCATGCTTACCTCAAGATCAGTGGAACAGAACGGTAAGGAAAAGTAAGATCAATAGTTATTGAAGGTCAAAGACAATAGTTTCAGGAATAACCACGGAAGCAGTGTGGGATCCCCAAAATAAGACTAGCACGAGGTTTCAGGTGGACAGATTTGGTACGCAACAGCTTTGGGCAGCAACAACAATCGGGAAACTCTTTACATCGGACCAACATATAAGATGGGACTACCCGCAAGATAAATGCTCTGACCAGACCGACATGAGATCACAAAACGGACCATGACAGAACCGCTGGAGCGACCTGTCGACCCTAGGGAGTAGGCTCGACTTGTCCATGGCCCGAGAGCAGAGGAGTCCACCGTGTTGTTGTGCCTCGAAGACCCTCATAGGACAGCCATGACATCATTTGCCGTCGCAGGGCTCCTCTCAGTGGCATCCTTCATGCAGAAGAGGGTCGATGGGGCCTGCACCGGCGTTCTTACCTTCAGTTTCTTCCCCCCCCCCCTCCACTCCATCGGTGCGGCGACGGCAGCGGCGGCGGCGACTGGGGCCCGGACCAGACCTCCTCCCTCAGGGAGGGAAGGATTATCGGAAATAACCGTACTCCACTGGCTCTCTTCGGCCGGTGTTACCCCCGGATGGTCCACGGTCCCATCATTTAGAGGAGCAGCATGAGGTCACCGATGGAATGCGACTGGTGCATTGGAGAATTTATGGCGTCGAAAGATCGACAGTCTGCGCTTACTGAAGTGCACGTCCCTGCAGATCGGCACTTGCACTGGCTGAGGCCTGGATGAGTCCGTAGACCGCCTAAGAATCCAACATGAGGTATGATGGTTGACAGCGAGCCAGCCATCATGGTGGGGGAAGGGAGTTTGTCCCCAGGAGCTAGTTGCATGCACAATATGTGAGAGAGAGATGGAGGGAGACTATGGGGACGCGATGTGTCATGGATGAACCTAAAAGTGAAAGGACGCTAGTTGACTAGGAGTATGCAAGAGGAGGGTTAGCGTGGAGGATGGCTACTGATCATCTCCGGTGCCAGTAACTGTGAAAGAGAGGATGAGGATGTCTCATCTTCACAGCTGCTGTTAACTACTCCATTCTCAACCAGAAAAGTTCATCCAGTTGCTGTGGCGGGCCCAAGACCCATTCTCCCTGGAGGGAACCGACAACCGATAAAGATTAAACTAGATCATAACCCTGCAGAAGTAGAGCAGTACCGAACAGGGGGGCCCAGTTGTAACTGGGGACGCAGTTTGGAACGGGGAGACAGAGAGTTGGGAAAGTGATGGAGACGATGAATTCATCCTTGCAAATGCGGGCCGATGATTGGCTGATGAGAGGAGTTCGGATCAAGCTAGCGCCATGGCTGCATCGGGAATGGCGCGGTGCCTGGGGTGCGCATGACGTCAGGCATAAGGCCGCCACCGAGTCATATCTGCTCGTTGGCTCCATCTTCATATTCATCTCCTACCACACACAATATCCATTTACGAGGTATGATGGAGTCCTCCAGACACTCATTTCTCCATCCATGGAGTCTTGTCCTCTTCCTCTGACCCGGGAGCTTGGTATATCCTCCGGCATCGCCAGCCTTTCTCCCTGGAAACCATCCCCTCTCATTCCAACAAGGCGTAGGCGAATCAATATCTGAATCGCATCCATCCCCAGCAAAACGTCGCATAACCTAGTCATATCATAGAGTTAATAATCCGGTATCGGGCCACTGCACCGCGGCAGGCAATGCATGCTGCAGAATCCGGGACGCCTTCCGGATTGGATCCGATCTGTTCGGTGCCCCATGCAGCTCATGCGCTAACGATCGTTGCTAGGACACGCAGTCAGGGACACACACACCCAGCCTCCCCTTTCTGCTGTTCTTCGGTTGATTGTTGATATCCCACAGCGACCCACTTGTAAAATCTTCATCAGCAGAAGGTTCGGTTGGTGGCCCCCAGGTGGATCAAAACACAACCAAACTGCTCGCGTAAGAAGTTGGCAGCCCTGAAGGGCACTTCCTAGACTAGCGCATTTGATCTCCTCGGGACGCTGCACTGTGGGCAGCTAGTAGCCCGGCTCAAAGGGGCCACGGACAGAAAGTACTACTGTGTCTGTGTGTCCAATCCAGGCAACGATCCCCGGCAAGGAAGTTAGCTGCTGCAGCACTCCGACGCGAAATGCGAAAGCGGAAAGTAAAACACGCTGTATGCGGACTGCACAACCAACGACCATCAGCGATAATCATAATCAAATAAAACTTGGAACGCTTTCTGGGCCTAGATCACAGGAGCGAGCGGTGGATTATCACTCAATGTGACATCCGTTCCCGTGGGCCCATCGCGGAACAATGTTCCTGGAAACAAGTGATGAAATCCTTCTCGGTTCTCACGGCGCGGTTGTTATCTCCTTTGTCTCGGATTTGGAAAAATGAATACGCCCATGATATTGGAATGCCACGTCTCCCCACCCCCCACGTCAATGAAAGAAAAAGCGCAGGCGTACCTGGCCCCATGGATTCGGAAACATCAGACGGTGAGATTGCAATCACTGCGACTGGCGAGAAACAATCGTCTCTGACCGCTCCCATGATATCACATTGTCCTCGGACTTCCCTTGACATGCTTTTCGCGCTCTTGAGCGAGCGGGAAATATTCCACGGACTAGACCCGAACAGACAGAGTATTGAGAGCCTGAACCTGAACACTCAGCTTAACGGTTGTCTAGGCATATGCGCCTCCTCGGTTATGGGACGCTTCTTCACGTCATACCGCCAGGGATCGTGGAACCCATGATGTTGTCTGCACCACTGGAAACGTCCAGTCCTGCTTCCGAGTCAGATTATGACGATACGGCCACCGGACTCCCTCGCATTGATCAAGTCCTCGCCTCTAGTGACGCCACGTAGTTCCATCTCGCAGGTCAGACAGCGCTCGATTGAACATGGTGTCCTCCTAAGCACCGTCTCCATGACATGACATTTCTGAGACAGTTGGCCGATCATGCTAGGGGGGAGAAGGCTAGGCCTGCTTCTCCGCTCTGACGATGTCATATGTTCGCGGCCCGTTAGGCCGAATCAGCTCGAATACGTACCTTCCATCACACCCTATCGACATTCCCCGGAATGCCCATATCTCGGAAGAGAAAGAGACAATCCACGTTGCCGTAGTGAAACATCCAACGTCATGCTTAACCCAGTTATCAGTCCACAATCCCTAACCCCAAGAAGAAATTCACGTTGATACCAAGATGTTTGTTCCGATTGACCAGCTCCATTATCAGGAGTAAAAAAAAATGCTCTAGATCCCTACAACAGCGGGTAGATACAAACAGACGCCACAATCAAAGGACAGAAGAAATATTTTTCATCATGCTCGCACATCATCACACGTAACCTATAATCATTAATCAGCTCCAACGGCCCCATTACCAAACGGGGATTAACACATAGCCCACGAAAAACACTCGGAACTCAATTGTAAAAGGAAATCGACACTTACCTTTTCTAGCACCCTGGAAGAAGAACCTCACAACAAAGACCTGCAGTGCGGCCATCGAAACCATCATCAAACCCTCAATCACACTAAAGTTGAAAATCCGACGCTCCGTACTACGAACGGTGCTGAAGTTGCGGTTCTCTCTTGTGCGGAAGTACTTCTGGTTGCGGGTGATGGTGGAGAGCTGAGCGGACAGCTTGAAGATCGACTCCTCGAGAGCGGAGGCCTGCTCGGGGCTGGCACCCTGGCGGGAGGGCAGTTGTGCGCGTTCCTCGTTCTCGACCTGTAGACACGCACACACGTGCGTAATCAGTCTCAATCCCTTTTACACTACTTTGTAATATAGCCCCAGAGGGTCACGGGTCGCCAATATGATAATAGGTAACCAAAACAAACAAAACATACCGCGATCTCGAAATCGACAATCTTCTCGGCAAAGGTCGACATGTCATTGTTGAAGCAGAACCGGTACTCGCCAATGCTCTGGGCCGTGAACACAAAGTCACCCTGTCTTTCCTTGGTACCATCCAGGACCACCTTCTCGCCGGGACCGACAACGGAGTAATCGATATCGAAGGAACCGCCGGATTGGACCTATTTGAAAGCCCCGGTTAATGGACAATCCCACATTGAGGGATACAGAAGGGATAGGAGTACTCACAGCAAAGTAGAAAGCAAGCTTCACGTTCCTCTGGTCAACATAGTTATAGAAACACGCTTTCTCGTTGGCCTCGAGGCGGTAGGTCAGGGCCGTGGCTGCCACAGACGAAACAAAGGTGGCCAGGAGGCCGATAACCAGGGCTGCGAAGCGCATTGCGAGCAGTGGTGCGGAACAAGAGGAGCTGCGACCTCAAGTTTAGGACTACGCTTCAGGGGGGAAAGGTGAATGGATTCAAAGACAACACAACTAGACTAATTGATGGAGTTGGAAGTTCTGGCCAGCTGTGACTTTGGCCCGCTCCGTTTGTTGTGTTTGCACTAACAGGCTGTCTTCCCGTTCATCCTCGACCCAATTGGGATGGACCCGCCTCCTGTTGTATTTATCAGCCAATGGCTTATTCTACTGTCAAATTTACTCCTTTGGCATTGGAAAGAAGTAAATGCAAAACACGTCAAGAGACGGCGTCTGTCAGACTGGCTACATAGCTCTCACCGCGGCCCCTGTTTTGACTGACCATTTTGCACTTAATACGGTTCATTCAAAAAGCTCGCATCCTTCCAAGCTAGCTCATACATCAATTCCAGCTGCTAAAAGCATATCATAACGGAACCATTAGGCCTGCCCTTCTAAGCTACCAGACAGACCAATACCACAACACATTGAAATAATCGCATCTGTTCATCATGTATAAAGTATGTTGTTTTTTGAAGTTCTTTCTTCATAAGCTGATTCGCCTGGGCAACACATGTCCTCCGTATGTTCATAATGGTATGCGTTCCCTGCCAATCGTAAGATAGACTCCCAGCAAAAAAAGACGTGCATAGCCATAACCATCAAGCAAAACTCCCATCTATCGGATGAAGAACGATTCGCTCCGGTTCCAAAAATTGCGGTTCTTATTTACATGCTCGAGACCAAGCAGGTCGTCCGAATCACCGATGATGTCGGAGAGGATATCATCTGAACAGCGTCAGCCAAAAAATGCGCTCGTTTTAAAAGCACTGGGTCAGGTCACTCACCATCTTCCACATAGCGCGGGTTGGAATACATGTTGCGAGACACCACAGCAAACTTGATCTTTTCGAATTGCTTGCCCTTGATGCCAGTCCGCTTAGACAGTCGCTCCTTCGTCTGCTTGAAGATCTCGCCCTAGTAAACGTTAGAATGTTGTTACCCGAATTCAGGCGGAATTACAACGTACCGGCTTCATAACAAACTTAAAAGGCACGCCATGCGGCCGGTTGACCTCGCGGTCAAAGTTAAAGGCATTTATCGTCCGTTCGCCGTCCTGCATGTTGGCCTCTTCTTCGGGAACCCTCTCGGCATACAGCGACACGAATTCGTTTATTCCAGCGATCTTCGAGTCGGCCTGAAATTCCCGGTAGATCTTGCCGCCATGGGTCTCGTAGACGCGGGTCTCGCGGATCGTCTCGTCGTCCAGGTTTGCCTTCTTCTGCAGGCCGGCAACAAGGTCTGCGATGGTACCGTCGCGAGGAACCAACACCTCCACCAGTTGCTAAACACTATTTAGCTCCAATCCTTTGCAAAAGCGTGGTTATCAATCGGGACTTACCTCCTTGGTGATGCCTTCAGGAAGCCATGTAACCTTCAAGCAGGTCTTAGACTCAAAGTCACTCAAGCTAGTTTCCAAAACCTCGTAGTACAGGGCATCCTGGCGATGCATGCTGTACCCGTAAGTTGTTGCTTGTCCACCGAGAATATGATACAAGGTCTGGTTGGGTTGGTTGGAGTTCCGCTTAATGAACGCCTTCGGCTTGCCGGTACTTGCAAGGACCGGCGCGAAGCGCAGATGAGTCGATTCCACGTTCAGGTGCTCGCCGACCTTCTTCGAGAACTGATCGTAAGTCATCTTACGACTCAACGTGAGTGTGAACTCGTCGCCTTCATCCGCCTTGATCGGAGCAAAAGTAATGTTGATCCTGTTCAGCAGGTAATCATAATATTGCCTTGCGTCCGTATACAAGGCGGTTGCCGGTAGGTCTGACTCCTTGATCGTTCTCTGGAAGGTGATGATGTCTCCATCCTGAATCTCGGACTGCTGGAAGGTCTGCTTCGGCTTCATCACGTCGATCATGTTATGTTTGATCTCTTCGAACAGCATGAACTCGGTCCCAGCAGGCCAGCCCATCTTCTCGAGGATGATAGGGGCGAGGTCCGCAACCTTCTGTGTCTTGCGCACGTAGACTGCACCGACACCGGCGATTGTTTGCGAGGGCGCATCGAAATGTTTCAAAAAGACGAGCACCGAGTTGTTATCCGGCCAGGAGATCGATCCATCTGCAGAAGGCTGGCCCACCTCCATCCAGACCTTGAACGGGTTTCCTTTCGTGCCATAGCGATTGTAAGCTTCCTCCACAGTCATGTCCTGATCCTTGATGACTTGGTCCGGCCGAGTCGTCTTGTTCTGTCGATTCACCATGACCCAGAAACGGACCTGTTCAGGATCGAGTCCCTTCTCCTCTGCGAGCTGCTGTGCAAACTCTCCGACCTTCTTAGCCCGGAGGATTCTGTATTGCTTCGGCACCGCAGGATCGGTAGCTGGCAGGTCTGCACTCGTGAGATCAAATCCGTGATGGGCCTGGAAAGACTCGTCGCTCAATACGCCAACATTGATATACAGGTGGGCTTCTTCTCTCTCCTTCTTTCTGCGCGCCAACTCGATACGTTCTTCCACGAGTCGGTTTTCTGCGGCATAGTTAGTATAGATCTTTAGAGTTGATGAGGATGCCCAACATACCGATGTGGGAGGGAACTTGTTCCTTTGTTATAGGCAAGAGAACATCATCCAATCTCGACTTCCGAATGTATACCAGCATGTAAGCGTTCATTGAGCGCTTGGTCGACAGCCCGCGGGTGTAAGGCTGTCTGACACCAGCCGCGCCGTTGGCCAGCTCATATTCACCACCGTAATTCTCCTCGAGCACCTCCTTGTCCGTCGCCCGGGTCACCCGATCGTCGTCGAACCGGTACCAGTGTCCATCCTTGGTAGGCTTCAAAAAGGCGTAGTAATGACCGGCATTAAGGTCACCGCTGTGCACCAGCACACCGTGCAACTCGTAGATCCAGGGCTCAGACTTATCGGCATCGTTGGACAGGTACGGGGTGGCGTCGAACTCCATGGGGAAGGCGTGGCGGTCGTTGATCTTCATCATGGCGTCACGATGGATGTCATACTCGAATCGCTTGAGATGAAGGTGCAAAACAGGTGGGAAGCTCTCAAAGATCACACCCTTCTTGGCGTCCTGGAGACCGTAGGGCTGTCCGGCATCGTACTTGTTCTCGCCTTCAAGAGTCTCCACCTGGATGTAGTCCTTGAAACTGTCGTCGAGGGTCTTGTTGCCTCGAACGTTGAGTTGGATGTCCCAGAAGTCCTCCACTCGCGACGATTCGTAGTCGACATTGATGCAGGAGATATAGGTTTTCGTTTTTCCGACGAACATCTCCGGGAGAGCCTTTTCTGCCGGCGTGCCCTTCATCTTCTCCTCCATCCTCTCCATAAGCTTTCGAGAAAGCTCCTGGACATCCTGTTGCTCAAAGATTTGTCGCGATTCCCAGCCGAAGGATGCTGTGAGTTCTGTCGTCGAGACAGAGTTCTCACTCGTTTGGAGGTTATAGAACAGTCTCTGAAGAGTCCAAGCACTGTTGTCTCTTGAAGCCTCGGCCTCTGTCGGGATCTCGTAGACGGCCTTGAAGCGTGTTAGCGCATTCACGTCGAAGCAGATAGATACTGCCACGTACCTTGCGGAATTTGTTGGTGAAGTATAAAGACTGCAGAAGCGAATTCAGATAGCAGGTTGCGCCTTGGTTTTTCAATCCAACCATGCCTGTTTCCTTCTTCGAATCGTAGCTGGAAACAATCAGCAAGAGGTCTGAGTAGACATCTGAGCAGATACATACTTCTGGAAGCTGTGCCACAGTACTCCTGTGGGATCCTTGACAACACGCACGTATGCTGTGATCTTGGCCTCTTCGTTCTGCACCAGAGGAACGCCGCGGCCCTCCCATGGCACGCTAAAGAGTCTGCGCAGCTCACAGAATCGGGTAAATCCCCAGTCACCCTCGTCCGCATTGAATCGATGTGTGGCGACTACATTCCGATCAGCGAAAATAGCCACGGCTTCCAGTCTGGGTATACGCACCGTGAGAGATGTAGATGGATGGGTCGTTTACGTTGGACAAAACCAGAGCGAACTGAACGCAAGCGTACCAGTTTGCTGGAGGTTCGTTTTCCCAGGCATGCTCCAGGTAAAAGGATGCGTGTTCGACATGATTACCGTAAGGAAAGAAGAGGACTCGCCTATGAATAGATGTCAGAGCCAGCTCGTCGGATTGAAGCGACAGGACGGTGCACCCACCAAGGAGAGCCGGCGCACTGGAAGACCGGGCCGTGTTCCTTCTTCTTGAGTTTCCGCCAATCCTGGATATGCCATGTGTGATACGTCTCATCTTCTGTTTCCAAATCGGGGTCTTTCGGGAGGATCCGGGCCATCATTGCTGCATCTGTAGTGAAAATCGGGGGATCAGACATGTCCTCAAGCTTGACGGAGAAAGCGCTCGTCACCGCGACCTGTAACGGCTCACCCCCACCGCGGGGATTCCGTGACACCAACACACAACCATCGCCACGGCACAAGAGACGCCAAAGGGAGCAAAGGAAGAACGGGGGAGAAGGATCTTACGATCGTCGGCAAGAGGCTCTGGCTCCGGTTCCTCCGATCCGGACCGAGAGACGACGACCTCGTCGGTTCTGTCATTGTGATACTGCTCATATTCGTCGACGAGCATCTCACTGTCTGGGACCTATGAGGATCCGGGAACACGATGTCAGCGATCGGTGGCTTGCGGGGGGACAGGCATATCTGGGGAGGTGAATGCGAAATGATTTTCAGAGAACCACAATATGAGGGAGAACTTACGTTGTCCATGTAGAAGGAAAAAAGTGCGTACCCGCACTGGAGTTGAACGACAGACTCTTCTCACGGACGGGACGCTGCAGGTTGGATGGGGAGGAGGAGTATTAAATCGGAACGGGGTTAATCCTTCGGAGAGGTGGATAGGATAGGGCGAGAATGGAAGGGAGGAGGTGGAGAGGTCAGAACCTCGTAAGACGAGAATGAGAATTGAAAGAGAAGAGGAGGATCTGGGCTGCCGTTGATTCCAGTCCGCAGGAGTTTGGGATGAAGCTAGTGGCGGAGTTGCCATAACCCAATAATAACGGCCATGCGGGACACAGCAGCCCTTATTATTAAGAGGTTTCTGGTACTTCCCCTAACAAACCAGCACCACCACCAACACCACCTTTCCTTTTTCCTCTTTTTCTTTTTTTCTTTTTACTGCCTGTTAGTACTGCTCGATTCGCTGCCTATGAAAGTAGTCCAATCAGTGGATTGGGGTTAATTAATATGGCTCATTGACTTGAGGAAGGTGGATTTCTTAACAGTGACCATACTACTAGTCACTTCCATTTACGCTCGTATGATGGTTGACTCCATTGATGCTTCTTGTCATGAGTTGTGTGAACACAGGACCTGTACAAAAAAGAAAATATTAACAAAAGGCAGTTACCGGTTTTGCCATCTGCAGCTTTACTCTAGGCGGCTATTAGGTCAACTTCTCCTGGCAAGTTGCCTGGCGTTATCTTATTTACTATGCAGGACCAAGTAAGGCAAGGCTGATAGGGATTGTACAGTAGTAGTAGCTAGCCACCTACTAGATACTTACCCAAACGTGATATCACCCGTGCATTTTTTTGACGCTCCACCGTCCAAACTAGACCAAATCCGAGCATTATTACGATGCTGCAGTTCCGACTGACCGAAAAAAAAAAAGGATGATGTGAAAAAAGAATTTATCCGGCATCTTATAAATAAATAGTGAGAGGGAAATAATGTATTGTATAGCTAATGGTAGTTCACTTAAGTATGCTTACTCTTTCTTACTTCGTGCTCTTCCTACCAATTATCCTTCTATTCCATTAGGCTTGGACCTCTTTCCAACGCCATCCGCTCTTTAGTCCACGATCGGGTGGAATGGAAGATCACCGTTTTAATTAGGCAACACCCAGCACCAGCACCAGCACCAGCATCCCTGTACTGTATCCCTAACTTCTACCCAGTACCAATCTGACCTCGGATTGAGGAGGAGTCAGCTATACAGGATTGACATGAATACTCTCAAGGGGGAATCTTATAGTGTTGATGATTTGCTTTCTTTCTTTCATTTCTCCCGTTACATGTGAGCATCGGCACGTCACATGCCTAAAGCTCTCACCGCCCGGACGCCTGGAAAACCGGCCGCATTTGCCATCAGGAACCATGTCATGCCACTGTGATTTCAGCGGTCGTGGACCAAATTGATCCTCTGCAGAGCCATGTATGGACCATTCTATCGGAACTTGATCTCGTGTGGCTCTTTTGATGCGCGCCCGTTCTGCATTGGCGTAATACGGTCCCCTCCATGCCACACCCGCGCTTAAGCCGTTGACTCAGTCCAAACCACAGCAATATGGCGTGGAGTCATTCAGCTCGTCGCTGGCGGGCTCTTCGTAAATGCTGCTGCACTCCAAAACTACGATTTAATTCCACTCAGCAAGCTCACAGTCCGCCGCCGTGGAGACCGGTATCGGCTTTGGACGAGTAGGCTATCCTTGACACATTCTACCGGGCGTCAATGCTAATGGCTTGCAGATGGGTTGAGCGTGACATCCGTCCTATCAGTTTGCGACAGCTAACTTTCTTTGGACGAACCCTGACGGAATCTCGGCTCATCAGTTCGGCCAACTACGTACGAACTGAGCTTCCAACTAGGTTAGTGCGGTCATTCCATCGCAGTTGACGATCTAACTAACTCCAATATTTCGCTAGACTCGCACATCGCCTACGAGATATACAACGACTCCCGTATGTGGTGGTGGCTAATCCCCACCTGTCCATGGTGTACGAGCTCTACTACAAGGCATTCGAGCGGTTTCGGACCATCCCAGAGATAAAGACATTGGATGACAATGATAAATTCTGCGACATCCTACGTAAAACGCTCCGGGAACACCTGGTTGTGATTCCCAAACTCGCAACGGGTGTCCTGGAGTGCCGCGAGCTCGTCCCGTCAGATGTGCTGGACAGCTTCATGAACACACTTCTCCGAGCAGTAAGGCCTTGTCTGGGTGGATGGTGTGTTTCTCTACTAATACATTCAACCTAACAGAGAATTTCACGCCGCGTTATCGCCGAGCAACATCTTGCTTTAACGGAAACCTTCAACTCTCCGTGGCACTTCCCTGGATCCCAAGATCGCACAGATCTAAATGCCGACTTTGTCGGTGAGGTATTCCTCAGATGCAACGCGAAAGAGGTTGCTGAACGGTGCGGGAAGCTGGCGCAGGATATGTTGCGGCAGAACGGTGGATCGGATAAGATCCCAGAAATCTCGGTGCAGGGTCACCTTGAGGCAACCTTCCCTTACATGCTGAGTCACTTGGAGTATATCATCGGTGAGCTACTCCGCAATTCGATCCAAGCTGTGAGTGAACGATACCGGGACTCTACGGAGAAACCGCCGCCTATCGAGGTTCTCATCTGCGAGGCCCCGCAGCATGTGATCTTGCGGGTATCGGATCAGGGTGGCGGCATACCGCGTAAGGTTCTGCCATACTTGTGGTCTTTCAACAAAGGCCCTTACAGCACATCACACCTCCAGAACCTGGGACAGGTTCCCGCCATGGCTGCCACCATGCAGGAGCTGTGCGTGCCAACAGAAAGAAAGGATGCGGATCGGGACACATTCCGCGAGAGCTCGCTGGATTCGCTGACCTCGCGGCCCCCTAATCTACGTCTGGGGATCGGTCTGCCCATGAGCCGAGTGTATGCCGAGTACTGGGCGGGCAGCTTGGAGCTCCATAGCCTCGAAGGTTACGGAGTGGATGCGTTCCTGCAGATCTCGAAACTCGGCAACAAGAACGAACAGGTGACGACACGTGCGTCAATTGATGCAGTATAGAGGCTCGAAGTACGGAGAGGCTAAGTCGTATATACCTCCAAATATACACGTTAAACGAACACCAACCGCAACAATGGCACCTGCCTTTAACATCTCCTATCTACTAGTTGAACTCCCCACTTACCCCAGGTTTTCCGTAGCTCGGCCTTAAGCCCAAACAGGCAAGCGCGGCCCATTTGCGGCAGCTTGCGGGATGACGTCAGCCGGAATGGGATCCGGGCAATTCCAGGCCAAACTAAAAACATTTCTGCCTTGTTCAGTTGGTGGCCTGGCAAGGGATTGATCGCTCAACTCGGCTGCTGTGTTGTTCTCTCATACTCGACTTGACTTGTGACTTGCTACCCGTGGCGCTGGCTCACAAGGCTGATCAACACTTGGGAAGCCAATTTGATCTTCCAGTACCACCTTCCCGTCCCGGTGACGTCGATCTAGAAACACCTGTGAAACCTTGTGACTGATCCGATCCTGTCACCTTCTTGATTCATATACAATGAAGCGTCTCAATTCCAACAAAGACGATAACGTCCCCATCTACATCTACATCCTGCTGGTGGTGATTCTATCCCTCAGCTTCCTGGGTACCTATTTGGACTCGAGCAAACGTGTCAAGTCTGCCGCACGGTCCTAATCAGTACTATCACTACTACTATATTGTCGTTATCAACATAGCCTCGAAATCAACTAAAATGGCTGGAACATGCTCCATGCTCTGCTTGATTCTGATTACCTTGTTCAGTATGCAGCCCCTCCACTTATATTCTCACACTTTTTCATAAATCTGAATCAGAAGCTAATTTCCTACTCATCTAGTACCTCCTCTCGGTGTGTTTATGATCTCGGGTTGCAGTGTTGATCTGCTTATCAATATACTCTTGACGATTCTCGGGTTAGTTCCTCATCCTTCGTTTCCACTATACTTCTTCGCCTTCGCAGTGTTACATTAAAAGTAGATGGTTTCTGACCGAGTCAACATTGTGCAGGTACTTACCCGGTCATATCCACGCATTCTACCTCGAATACGTATACTACGCCAATCGCAACGCAGGGACAGGCGAAGCACCACGTCGCGCGCCGGGAGTCTATTCCGAACGGATTCAGCGCGGGGGGAATCACCACACGACGTATGGCACGATCCCTTGATGATGGATGCTGAATGAATCAAGCTACATGTGGACATGGCTGTTTCTTTTCCCTTTACATTTAACTGTTCCGGGTATTACATTGTTATGTTACGAAACCCTAAAATGAACGGCCAAAGTCGATAGCATCATTAACTGGAGTTGAGGTTCTTTTATTTCTACAATGCAAGTAGATGATATGCTCAACCTCAAACCTAAGCCCAGCCCATGCCTCCATAAATAAATAAAACACCCAAAATAAACAAGAACAATCCCAATGCAATTATACCATCTCTCCTACATAAACAATCACCCACTATACTCCCCCACCTACACCGCCCCAGCAGAAGCAGAAGCAGTCCCAACATTCCTCCCCTTCAACGCCGGCAACCCAAAAGCCCTACTCGTGCCCACATCCCCCTTCGTCCTCATCGCACCCCCGGTCTGTGGAGCCCACCACAGCGCCCCAACCCACGGCTGCACATTCCACCCGACAGAAAGCGTCACATTCTCCCGTTCGGCCATCTTCCCCGAAACATCCCCGATGGAGTACTTCGCCCGTTGATCGCGGAGTCTCAGCTTCCCGGGCTCAGACACCTTCTTACTGGCCGTTTTACTGGAAGATGAAGTCTTCTTCGTACTGCGCTTCTTATTCGCAGACGATGATGCAGAGGGGAAAAATCTCTCGCGCAGGGCATTAAACGAGTACGGCGACTCCGGGGCCGGGATGATGGTGTCCCAGATGACGGAGTGGGAGGGCGCGGAGGTGGTTGGGTTTGTGGGGTCGGAGGGGTAGGTCGCGTAGACGTAGACGAAGAGTTGTTTGGTGTTCCAGTTGAAGAGGGGGGTTAGGTCTTTTGTATGGTTGTCAGTTATGTAGGGGAATGGGAGATGGGCATGGGGGGGATGTATGTACCAGCGTCCAAATCGAATTTCATGGCGGCGTATTCTTCCTTTCGTGTGCTGTAGTAGTGGGGACGGCCTTTTGTTCTGTTGGTTTGAATTGGTTGGGTTGGGTTAGTTATGTTGGTGTGGATGTTATGTTATGTTATGGGGGTGGTGTAGTAGGTAGATAAGTATTGTATTGGGTGGGATTGGAAAGAGTAAGATGGATGGGAAACGTACACTTTCACATCGCGCAACTTCACACTAGACGTCACATCGTCAGTAGGATAGAGAAATACGCTGAGAGCAGCGAGACCGGCGACGAAGAGAGCGACGGTCGTGAAGAAGCCGAAGACGCCTTGGGCGCGGTTGAGGGTTGAGTGCATGATCCCCTCTATGTGTATGGACCGCGATGGAAAGGAGGTTTATGAAAAGGAAGATAGGGAGAATAACTCCCTGTGAAGCTGCGGAGTCGCGAGGATGTTTGTATTGGGGATAGTATTGGTGATAGTAAGAGAAACAAAGATGGGCGGAGCTTGAAGCCACATGGGCCTTTTTCGGGATTGGTTGAGCTGAATGGCTGGCTGGCTTATCGATAAGCAGCTACTACTTATCGTTTTATCTCCGATACTGTCTGTCGCGCACTTTGCTACAACTTCATTTCCTCGTTGGATTGAATTGCTGCGCGCAAAGCTGTTATAGACTATCGCATATACTCTTGTTACTTGTACTCATTATTCTTTATCGTCACTATAATATTCTCTCAATTAATTACCCACTTACACCAACCACACCTCATCCTCAACACCAACCACCAATCAACCCCGCATACTCCCTCCCTTCGAATTTCACACCACAATAGACCCAATATACAATAGAAAGATAAGAGAATCCAGAATGGGCGACCACGTCCTCTTCTTCTACGGTACTTCCTTTTACCCCCTCTCCCCTCTACCATACCTCTACTAAGATCTCTTCAAGGCACCCTAATGGCCCCTCCCATCCTCCACCGCGTAATCCACGGCAACTCCACTCCAGAACCATGGCAAAAGGCTCTCTTGACAATCAAGCCGGCAATACTGCATAACTATCGACGCCATCGCGTCCGGTATGCGGATTATCCGGGTATTATACCCACTACACCATCTTCTTCTTCTTCATCTGGTGATACTGCTACCGGTGGTGATGCATCTGTGCTAGGCACAGTAGTGTGGGGATTAACAGACGGGGACGTGTATCGATTGGATCGGTTCGAGGGGAGTGAGTATGAGAAGAGGGCGGTTAGGGTGAGGGTTCTAGATCATCAGCAGCAGCAGGGTGAGGGTGGTAATGGGGAGATACAAGAGGTGTTAGGTGCAGCGGAGACAGAGGGCAGCGGTGAGACCAAGGAAGGGGAGGAAGTAGAGGCCGTTACGTATGTGTGGACTGCTGGAAAGGAGCGGTTAGAGGATGCGGAGTGGGATTTTGAGGCGTTCAAGAGGGATAAGATGGCGTGGTGGGTGCAGGCGGATGAGAAGGATTGGTAATAAGTAGACATAGACAGAATATTTTCAGCTGGGTTAGATCAGATCAGATCGTCCGATTCTATCAAATATCCATATATACAATACATGTCACCCCTCGTCTTGAATTCCACAGAATCATTCGCATGCAAATGCTTGGTATCTAATGCAACTGTCAACTCAACCCTCCCCCCAGTGTCCCGGAAACGCCTGCGTGCGGATGGCACGGATTAGGAAAATAACAAAGCAGATAATGCATAAGACAAGTATTAGAGATAGTGCTTTTCGTTACTACTATGTGCATAGCTGACTACCTCGTGGGTGTCCCTCGTACTTGGGTCTCGACTGCCACAACACTCACACTGTCGTCAGGACTATCGCCCTCCGGAGCATCTTCTTTGTTGTGGACAACGGTGCGCGGCTGTGTCTCCGACTCCGGACTCTGTCGTCGTGGCTTTGATGGTTTGGATTTGGTCTTAGGTGGCGCTGCCTCCGGCTGACTGTCTGGGACTAGGACAACATCTTTCTCGGGAGATGCTTCGGGGTGCCGTGACTCTTTGGCGTCCACTACCGGTGATCTTTGGATCTCCTTAGGTTTGTCCTGGCCCGCGCTAGTTTCCGCTTCGGCTTGCGACTGTCGTTCAGAATTCACAGCCTGAGCAAGGTCCTCCGAGCCATTCGACGGCCCCTTTTTCCGGGGTGAATGTTTGCTTTCGCTCTCCGCACCCTCCAGCACGGGACTACCGAGTAGGTAACAGACTGGCTTCTTATTCACCATAGTGTCTTTGTCACTGATCTCATGGCGTTTGAGCTGCTCCTGCTCGTCATAAAGCATGTCAAGGAATTTGCGGAGTCGCCGTCGGAGGAGACCGGACTTCAGCGGAGGCCAGTCGTCTTTCGAATCCATCTCCTTCTGAAGAAGCTTCCTGACAAACACATCCGGATCTTGGACGAATTTCTCCAGGTATGCCAGAAGATACAGACCGCAGTCGGAATAGTTGGGCTGCAGGGGAATATCCCGGGCCCTCATACCCTTGATCAGGCCTTTGTCGATTTCGACGCCCTTCTTAGATTTGGCTTCTTCGTATAAATATTCACGAAGGGAGCTTATTGTTGGAGAACGGGGCACATTCAGCGAGTCGAAAGTAATAATGATCGGCTGGCAGACGTCGTATCTAGGGCCCGCTCGCTTTGCCTTTTGTTTGCGAGGCTTAGCTGATGGTTCGGGCAATTGAGCAGCTTCCTTCTTATCAGGCTGTTCGGGCGTCGTTGCGTTCTCTGTAAGACTGGGGAGAGTTTTGGAAAGCCCTTCTGGGCTAGCTTCAAGCTCAGGCCACTCTTGATCTGCAGCAGGACTCTCTGCAGGCTGGCCCTTTCCAGCCCCATCAGCTATCCTCATAGTTTCTAGGGATCGCCTAGCTAACTCCGCTCTCGTAGGGCCTGAGCCGTTCGCCTGTTTTTCTTCCTTGTCCTTATTGGTGGCTACTTCCGGCTCTGGCGTTTCAGAGATCTCCTGAACCTGACTGTCTGGTGGCCCCGAAAGCTCTTTTTCGCCTTGTGTTGGTTCATTTGGATCTAGCCCTTCCTGGACAATTCCCTGCAGGCTTGGTAGGTTGCAGATTATAGCAACATACCAGTGCGCACTTTCATTGATTGGGACAACGACATAATCATGACTGAAGATGTCGACGGTCCTCGTCCACTTCTGCACGCCTTCATAATTTATGCCCCGCTTGCCCCGGGGGACATTCATAAGTGTATCGTGAAAGAAGGAGTTGAAAAAATAGACTCTCTTCGCCGCGTCACTATTGGTGCGCTCCAAATGATCTTGCAGGAATCGAATGTAGAACCCGATAAGGTTGTCATTCAAGAACTCATTCTCGCGCAGTCGGTCAAGGTCGTAAACATCCACCTCGGCCTTCTTCTTCCCAACTAGCGGATAGACAAGGGGTCTACTACATAGTTAGCACCAACGAGTACCATGGTTTGCAGAGTTGCATACTTGTGCCACTTTTCAGTGTTTACAGCTGGCAAAGGTGGCTGCGTACTTTCATCATCGCTATCGTCACTGTCATATTTGTCAGTCGTTTCTACCACATTATATTGACCAGCCAATACATACCACACTACTGTAGTCGCGGAAGGAAGACGCGACATGGCTCTTGTGGTGATGCTGGACGCAGACTTCTTCACGGGAATTTCCACACCGGGGTCCGTGGCGCTCTTCGACACACGGCTTGGGCTTGATTCAGGCTGCGATGGGTTCGAGTTGTTGGGCTTGGGTGCAGTAAGGGAGGGGTTTGCACGTTCCCGAGAGGCGGCGTCCGGCGGCGACGGCTGTCTCCCAGCGGCAACCCCGTTTTCATCTCGCAGATTGTCCGTAAGCTTCACCCGTTTCGTGGTGTCACGCTGCTTGTCCGGGACTTGCTCAAGACCGCTTTCCGATGATGGCCGTTTAATTCCATTTGTAGATTGTTTAGTTTCTCTTTGGGCCTTGTTGAACGCTTTGTCCATCCATTCGCTACTCTTATATCAGCCTCAGTTGAATAGCAAAAGGTGTCATTCAGGAACAGCAACAAGAGCCAAAGGAAAGCGGCACAAATAGAGAACAGTGAACTGACATACCTTGACTTGTCACGAACGTCGACCTCACCCAATAAACAGCAGAATTCCTCCTTCACAGTGAAAGACATGAACTCAATATCGATCCGGTTATCGAGTTCCGACGTCTTTGATAGCACTAATCTGACCTTATTGTTTGGTGATTCTGCTTTCAGGATCTGTCGTACTCTAGAAAGAGGCGCTTCAAAAATGTTCTCCGAATCTGTCTCTTGACACAGTACGATTGTGCGTTTCGTCATGTCGACATGAACCTCGACGGACTTGCCATCCGATGCCTGCTGTTCGATAGGACCAGTTCGGACGAGCTTCGCTTTGAAGGATCGCTGGTTCGACATTTCGGAAGCTTTGGTCTTCTTGTTCTTCCGTTTCCCTTTCTTGCTTGCCCCGGAGGCTTCGAAAAGAGTTGGTTTAATATCTTGAGACAGGTGCTCACGGCCTGTCGTGCGTTGACTTCCAAGCTCAGCTCTCTTGTCTCCAATTTGAGCGGGCGGTGGCCGCACTGTTACCGCCCCTTGAAGCTCATCGGGACTCTCCCGCGATTCAGACACCCGTCTTCTGGGTTTTGCCGCAATTTCCGGATCATGAAGCAGACCCATCATTGTCTTATTTGCAGGTTCCTGTGATTTCGCATTTATGATTTCGACGCTTTGTAGGATCTCATGTTTGGAGGGTCGTTCCTGTTCGGCGCCGGAGTCTACGTCGGCAATGAATGAATTGTTTCTCCGTCTTTCTTTGGTGGCATTTTTCGTGAAACGTTCATCGCGGTCATCATCGGACGGTGCTCCGATGTTGGGTAAGGGACCACGTTTTGGGCTTGGTTGTATCCGGGAAGGTCTCACGATATTTTCAGTGCTTCGGTACTCGTCCACTTTTGAGCGTCTGTTATTCCGCTGTTTCTTTTGCTTCCCTGAACTCTGGCTCAAAGTAGGAGACATACGTGGTGGGTGACCGGCGATGCGGGGCGCCTCCTGAGCGGGGTGCTCAACATCGTTGTCAGACGGTTTTGTGAAAATTCCACGGCTGGAATCGAGGGTATCCTGGCGGCGCCGTTTATTGGGTCTTTCAGAGCCTGCGTATCCTGTGACATTTCCTGGCTGGCTGTTCCGTAGGCGATTCGATTTTCCTTGTGCACGAACCGATCCACTGTCTCGACCTTTCGATATCGTATCCACGGGTCTGAAAGGTGACTTGTTCCTGCTGTTAGCACGAGCACACAAGCATTTTCAGTTCTGGTCAATCATACCTTGGGCTTATTGCTCTTTGTTTGTCCTGGCACTATAGGGATTCCACCGGGGTCATTCCTAAGAAAGTAAATCTCGCTGATCAGCATATATTCATATGGCCACTGCGCAAAACTGAACGCACCACTTATTGGGAGGAAACAACCTAAGTTCATCGTATGCTTCGGAACGCTGGCGCGACTTGGCATGTGTTGTGTCGCCAGACCTAATTTCAATCGAGTCAGTATCACTCGGTCTGCTTCCGCATTGCGAGGCCATATTTACAGGCGACGCATTCCTGAATCTGATCGAGGAACGGTCTGGCGATATTGTGGACGTACAGGTCGGTGTTCGTAAGGATGTCGAAGTCCTTCGGCATTGCTGAAAGCAGTCTATCACGGCCGGTGTTAGCAGAGCGGAAAATGTAAAATTATAGGCCGAGACATGAGTTGCGAAAGAATGATCGCATGGTAATCTGGAAAGCGCTGGGCGGAGTACGGATACTTACGGTGACCGGATCAAGGCTTTCAAGAGATGTATGAAGAGATCCGTATTCTATAGGCGAACCGGAATTCCATGCGCCGGACGTCTCAGTCCGCTGTATGTGGTCGGAGGTCGCATCTGATGGGGGCGCAGGATCGGGGGAAGTTTGCGGGGAGGAGGGGGGTCGACTGGAGGTGCGGCCGGAGAGGAAGTCTGAGAGTTGTTTGAAGAGTGGCATGTAGTCACGAGCGAGGTCATTGCATGACCAGACAGGCCAAGAGGGTTCTCATATTCGGCGAATACCGAGCAGAAGTGGGCATGGCGATAGAGAGAAATGCATCATGGATGGGCCAGAAAAGGCGGTGGGAGGATTCTGCCCACCGACGTGCGGAGCCCTACAAATCTGCTGACTAGTTCTAGTCCGGCCACTAGTGCCCGCACTAGTGGTGTCTCGTGCATTTGCTGTAGATAGTAGTCTACAGTATGGCTCTGTAATCACCATTCGGGATGCCAAATAAGTATCATTTTGCGATATATATAGCAGTACCACTTCCTTCAGCACTGAGGCAGCATCTGGAGTTGACACACTTTTATATTTATGATGTAATGATGTCTGTTACCACTCTTAGTAGTAGATGAGGGCATTAACACAGTCTCCGCATATATATACCTCCCGTTTACTTCTTAATACACATATTAATAGTACAATCATGGTGATTGTACCTGCGCATACCGAAGTAAATGATACATAGTATTCATAGTAGTACTACGAATGATGCTCCTAATCCTATCTACCATGATTAGACCGACTAAAACACTCGAAAAATTGTGGAATGGTGTAAAACTACCAGAAAGCAATCTGGTAGAAAGACAGATGAATAATGTATTACAAGAAGCCTAGCCCATAATATCAAGCCATGATCGATCTGTAAATATCAGGGTAATAGTCAATCTCCATACAATAACACTTGATGTTTAAATCTATACCTGTAGTGGTGTCATTATTAGAAGTGGATAGAAAGCCCTCAATTACTACTTAATAGTACTTGAGATGCTCCTATCCAACCACAAACAGCACTCAAGGGCCACAAGAAATACAAGCAGGTATCCCCCTCCTCACAACACAGTAACTAAGTACATACTCCAGCTCCAAGCTATACACCAACCACGACCAAGTAACTAATGCACCACAGTACCTTAACGCAACCCACAAACAGTGCTCCATAATGCAGGTTCAACTCCCTACAGTAGTAATGCCCTCCTACCGTCATTGAATATGATAGATCATATCCCTGCCGTAGAATATAGCAGACCAGCCTGCAGGATGTTATATGGCTGATTTACATTGGCCGTGGCTCCACTTCAGAGATTTCTATCCAGACTATTCAGATCTAGGTTCCATGAGATGTAGGTAGAATTGGTGGGAATAGTACCCGTGGCTCATAAGATATGAAGAGATGGGGGAAATGAGTAAGCCTTAGTATTAAGTTGGAAAATTAGAGATACGTGGTTGAAGGGTTAGATGGATGGCATTGAAAATACTACCGAGGAAGGGTGTCGGGGTGGGTTAAGGAATAACTTCATCGCGCTGACTAAAGAAGTTATCGCTTGGGGTTTAGTTTTAGTGCTTTCCGTATGAGGGAAGAAATCAGGTGTAGACAGTAGGACAGAATCGACCTAGATACCACGTGGGTTCCCAAAAAGATCCGAGATTATTGGAATTAGAGAAAAATCAAAAGCATGCGGGGAATTAAATTGTAGTAGTTTACATGCACGATCTACTAGTCTGGTTCAATAAATAAAGTCAATAGTAAATCAATAACTAGTTATTCCGATCACGATTCGTGCAGGTGAGGAAGTAGATAGAAGAAGAAGATACTAAGTATAGCAGTAATAAAAGTAGTTACGCTTCATCCCATCCGAGCACCCCAAACTTGCATATCCACGTGCAGTAGCAGCGCCCATGAATTGAAATAAAATGGACAGAAAATAAAAACCCAAATCGAGATCACTCAGTATTTCGCCCTAAATGCCCCGATCCCAAATCATCCCAATGAGATTTTTGTGTGGCCTTTACTATACAGGATCATAACCCACGTAAAGCATGTCAAGATGTCGTGCCTTTTCCTTTATCCCCCTCGTCATTCGCCGTAACTCTTCGTCGATCGCCCAGCTGGTGTTGCTGGTTGTGGTTGTGGTTGTTATGGTGGTGATGGTGATGGTGATGGTGGTGATGGCCGGCGTTTCCGGCGGCCTTCTCCTGGCGAGCCTGGTCGATGGCCGAACGTTGGGCGATACTGTCATCGTGACTCTTCCAGACAATGTTGGTGTCAGCGGGAAAGTTAAGTAGACGTTTGATTGTTTCCCTGCAGAGCATATTAGTAAACCGGCGATGTCGCTTCCAAGGCAATGTGTCCACGTATGACATACCTGATCTTGATGTTCCGCCCGCCATCGATGCGGGTCCACACATTCAGAACATCCTCCCCGCTCCGCACACTGAGAACCGCACCACAAACCTCATCGCTAGCCTCTGCAAATTGGTCACCGATCATAGCCAGGAGGAGGTCCTCCCAGTAGCGATCCGCAACCCCCTTCTTCAGCCTCACCACCCATTTTCCACCTCGCTTATTGGCTTCGTCCTCCCATACCGGACGAATGCCTTTCTTGAAGATATGGTAGTCGGAGACGGTGGGGAGTAGAGAAGGCCTCTTTAGGTGCGAGTAGATCGACCAGAAACTCTCTACTGATGATATGGATGCAAGCGGGGCGGTAGATTTTTCGTAATCGGAGTATTTAGGTGTGGGAGGCCGGTACCAGATAATCCAAGTGGACTTGAGCGGGTGCTCCTTGAGCGTCAAGGCAACACCCTTGGTTTTGCCGGCCTCGGCGGCGGAAGCCTGGTCGACAGGGTTTTCGCGCTTCTCGCCGGGGGTTTTCAGGTCAGAAGGTGCACCGGGGGTTTTGGGGGTTCCAAACGACGCAAAGGCACCGGAGCCCAGGCCGAATGCAGAGGAGGCGTTTGTAGACGGAGAGGACACGCCGCCGGAGAGGGGGGAGAGAGCGTTGAAAGGGTTGGACCGGCCGCCGTGGGAGCTGTCGGGGCCGAATCGCTTGGTGGCGCGGGGAAGTTCAACTCGAGCGCCGTCCGTCCCCGTCATAGACAGAGACAACTTGGAGGTGCTGTAGACAGGAACAAAAGATTAAGAAGGTTAGTTGAGTCGCACCGGCCACGCAAGTATGCGGGCAAAGTCATCGTGCGGAAGTGGGACGTACTTGGATCGGCGAGTCCAGAGGTTTGCGTTATCCATGGAGATAGCTAGTGACGGCCCAGAAAGCGAGCGATCATCAGCCGGGGACACAGGATCCGGCGGTCGGGTTGTTTTGCGAAGGGAAGGAGGAGGAAGAGATTCGAGGTGGTGGACGAAATTATCGAGCAATCAAGGGAGATCGAGTGACACAGGACCCAAGTCTGAAAATTACTTGATAGGATTAAATTGAGGGTACAAGAAGGGACGCGGCGAGCGGAGCAGTCAGGACGGTAGTCGAGGCGAGGCGAGGGATAGAAGGTGACGAATGTTGGAGAGGAGGAATCGTGATCGTGATCGTGAACGTGGCGAGGGAATTTCTGAGAAGGTCGAGGGGGGAGAAGCAGGAAGTAGATACTTTGGTAGATGTGAAGTGGGAAAGGGAAAGGGAAGAAGAAATGCGGAATTGCGGTTTCTGGAAGTGAAGAAAGAACTTGGGAAAGTCGAGCACTTCCAGCTGCCCGCCAGCCAATCACCATCCCGCCCCGCCTGCTCGCCCGCTCCGTCGTTTTTCCTTGCGGCGCCCTTTATTAACCGCTGAATTTTTTCGCATCTCTTCCTCTTCTTCTTTTTCTTCTTTAAACCCAAGACCACCAACTCAAATCATCGCTGGCTGCACACTTTTGATTCTGTCGAATTTTCAACTGCACTGGCGATTCCGATGAGTGTGTCGAGAATATTTTTAAATACCCGCTTCTAAAACCATCATCACGAGGGCTCTTCCGGGCTCCATGATGCGGTGATGACCTGTATGACGGGACATGCCTTTGCCAATATCATGTTTTTGGCATTGGCTCCCTGAAAATTGAATCGTAGCAGCTTTGGAATCTTTAGTCCGGCGCATCTGTAGTAATTCGACTGTTGCCGGTGCGTTCTTCCTCTCCTTGTCCTGTCTGGCAGTCTGTTCAAATGAACAACAGCCGACGGCCGCTTCCCGGTCCCCTACGATGCATGATGAAGCTTTCATTCACATACTCTGGTAATCCGAGGTGCTCAACCGCTTCCACACTACTATTACGGTGGTGTAGGCATTTGCTGGTCGAGTGTGAGGTCCACAGGCATGTCTGATTGCCGCGATTTGCTCCTTATTTTGCGTATTACTGCTCTGCCTCATCAGTTGCTGACGTGGCTGTTTGTAGTAGATTGTCCCATGGTAGACTAGCAATTGTCCTCAGTACGAGTTCCCTACTGCTACACTCACACTCAACGCTTTTTTGGTGATTCGCTTCGGATCGACACCTCAGATCGGATGGTCTTCTGCAACAACTGCCCTGTACACAAGAATGACATGGAAAGAGAAAATGGCATTGTATTGTCGTATCAATAGAATCTATACACAGATCAAGTGTGCCCAGGATGGAAAGGCCTCAACCGTCAAAAATGCTGGACCATAAATGTAGGATGCTCGGAAGTCAAATCTCCGAGAAAAAGGAAGCAGCGTGCATGTCGCCCGTCGGTCATAGTTCCGCATAATAGATGATAGTGGTAGGGGTAGGTGAGGGGGAAGGAAGGGTTACGGAAGGAGTTCTGTCATAGGAGCTAGCCCCGGTGATGTTATGATTTGCGAGACTTCCGTAAGATGCACAGCTTCGTCAACGCACGCTTAGGATGGCGCACAAGCTTTCCGAGAACCCCTATTTCATTGTGCTGGGGTTCGAAAGTTCGCATAGTCGGCATGTTGGAGAGGGCTGCACGGATGTTACATCCAGGCTTCACTGACCCGGGTGTGGCGCAGAAGGTGGTCCGCTTTCAGACCCGTCTTGCTTGACACGCTTAGGATCTCTCTCGCTCGGAGGTGCAGATGGTGCCCCCTTGCGCTTCTCCTTATCCCGCTGATACTCAGCACGACGTTCTTTGTCCCTCTCGCGACGGAGAGCCTTAGACTCGAATTCATGCCAGTCACCTTCAATATTCTCCAATCTGAGATGCATTAGTGACAGTCAAACAGGGGTTATTAAGCATTCAAACTTACTCGACGGCTTGTTGAGCACTTGGTTCCTCTGAAACAAAGTATGGGTGTGACAGAATCTCCTCGGTACTTGGCCGTTTTGTGGGATCGTAGCGGAATATTTGCGAAACCAAATCCAGAGCAGCGGGTGATAGAACTTCCCGGTAGACCTCTTCGAATATCCTCTTGCGTCGCTCAGTCGGCCGCATCAGCTCGAACCAGGGCATCTCGACAATGTCTGGCCATTCTTGCCGAGTCGGCGTACCAAGGGAATTGTAAAGCTTCTCCAATTGACTGATCTCTCCGCCCTCGCCAGGAAAGACAGCCTTCTTCGTAAACATCTCCACGTATACGCACGCCGCACTCCAGACATCGACCGCCGGTCCATACCTGGTTTCACCCAACAAAAGTTCGGGTGGTCGATACCATATGGTGATGACACGATTGGTGTAATCTAGTTGGCGACTCTTAGAAAAGAAACGGGCCAATCCAAAGTCCGCAAATTTCAGTTGTCCTCTGTTGCTGATGAGGATGTTGGCGGCCTTGATGTCACGATGCATGACTCCACGGTGGTGCAGGTAGTTCAAGCCCTCAAACATCTGTTTAGCCAAGTCTTTCTTGTGAGCTGCCGTCAGCGTGAAGGTTGGATGATTGATCAAGCCAGTCAGATCGTGCGAGAGATATTCAAAGACCATGAAACACTCGTTTCTCTCAACCATTACTTCCAACAGGCTGACAACGTTGTTGTTGCGAAGATGTTGAAGTAATTTGATCTCCCGCACAGCTGTGACGGGAAAGCCGTCCTTCTCGCCTTCCATTCGGATCTTTTTCAAAGCAACCTTTTTCTGTGTGTAGACATGAATTGCCTTGAAAACCTTTCCATATGTACCGGCACCAATGACAGACTCATTGCCAGGCTTTCGATAATAGACCGAGTCCGACTGGGCAAACTCTTCGGATAGGGTGGGACGTGGCTTGGGACGGGTCATGATCTTTGGCTGCTTTTTTGGTTCAGGAGAACGCTCGCGACGGCGGTCGGGACGGAAGTCTTGTCTTCGATCACCTCTCCTTCTTTCATTGCGATGTTCGAATCGTCGGTCGTCTCTTCTCATATCGCGTGGGTCTCGAGCTTCACGAAAGCTGCGGGGTTCCCGGAATTCTCTGCGGTCCATCCTCCCTCGATCTCGGTCCCTGTCGCGCGGTCGATCACGGTCGCGGTCCCTATCTCTGTCACGATCACGACGGTCATAACGTGTGTCAGGCTTGAACTTCGGTGGCGGCGGGCCACTCGATAACCTATTGCGGGGAGGTGGCTCAGCAGCGCGCGGCGGTGGCTCTCGTGCCAGCATTCTTTGAGCCAAGTCGGGAACCGGTTTGGGAGCTGGAGCCGGGGTAGTCTTTGCCTTGAAAGCGAAACTGATTTTGCCCCCTTTGTTGGGAGTAGCAGATGAATTAGATTGTTGCGTAGCATTATTTGGAGGTGGGTTGCCTTGAGCATCACCTCCCGCAGTAGCCTTCGAACCGTCATCTTCTGTGTGGGTTTCTTTCCTTGATGATGCAAACCGGTCACCATTATCGTCAACATGGGATCTTTCTTCGTTGGCCGGGGGCGGTGGTGGGCTGGCTGATGGTTGCCTATAGGGCTCGTGAGGGCTGGAAGGGCCTCGACCTCGGGAATCACCCCTCCAATGTGCTTTGTTAAAATTGCTTCGGCCATGTGGTGGTCCATTATTATGGCCCTGAGGCCCCGAGTTCATAAAGCGACGGTCGCTGCCATGTCCTTGATAGCCGCCACGGTACCCTGAATGTCCACCACGGTAAGATGGCCCTGAATATGACGAACTGTGACCATGTGGACCACTCGTAGTGTAGTTGTTCTGCCGGTACGGAGAGGTAGGGCTATATATTTGTCCGATGTTAGTCTGATGCTGCGGAGAAGTGTCCTGAGATGACTCGACTTACACATGCTGACCCCGTCCCCCGCGTCCGCCCGAGTACGGAGAACCAGGCTGTGGCGATCCGTGGTAAGAATTCGTCGGAGTAGCGTTCTGCATCGTCGAGGAGTATTGGGAAGCATCGGCATACGGTCGAGATGTTCGCGGGCGCTGGAATGCATCGCGTGATGTCTCCCCGTTGGCCGAAACACTAGCATTATCTGCATCATGCCCCGGAGCTTCCCGAGACGGGGACAGAGACCTGAACGAGTCACCCGCTGCTGAGCGGGCGGGTCTGGCGGAGTTCATCGTCGGATCACCCAGAGAATTGCGGCGAGAAGCTATAGATAATCTCGAATCACCGGACTGCACAGAGTGACGCGAAGGTGATCGATAGCGGGGCTCGTTCTCGAGTTCGTCTTCCGGCAAAGGGCTATGAAAGCGACGCCGAGGGTATGCGTAAGATTTCCCACCACGTACGGGAGACCTAGAGCGCCTAGGTCGTGGGGATATTGGACGCCTACCCCCGGGTGGGCGTCTATCTCTCCCTCGTCGGGGGGATGGTCTCCGACCAGACCGACCCCGAGTTGCGAATCGTCCTCGCCTGTTGGATGGCAGACCTCGATCCAGGTCGTCACTGTGATTGGAAGGAGGATAGCGATGACTTGGCCGGGTGGGAGGCTGTTCGAAGCCACTGGGAGAAGGACTGCGCGTCCTTTTACGCTTGAAGGGAGGCGGAGCGGATGGTGAGTGGTCGCGCCGATGGTGGCCTCTATCGTTGGTGTTTTCAGCTTCGAGAGAACGACGCGATTCCAAGCCAGGATAATCAGCGGGTAAGGGTGAGCGATCACGGTCTAGTTTCCGACCAGGGTGAAATTCCGAATGTGGATGACCAGGGGAGCCACGGGCGGAGACGGTGCTAGGGGACAAATCACGGTGTTGGCGAGGTTCGTGGTGAGGTGGAGGAAAGGGACGCGGTGGCGGCGACCGTAGAGGAAGCTCGTCGTCGGGTCTGCCCTCTTTGGGTCGGCGACGACGCTCACGGTCGCGAAATTTGTCCCTTCCCCTATCGCGGTACGAGCCTCGAGGCCGGTGCTTCTCCCGGTCTCTGGGGTCTCTAGTGTCGCTGGTGGCTCTCCACTGGTCTCTCAACACCGGACTCCTGCGGGACCCAGCCATGTATTCTCCTTCAGCTGCATCGGATTCCAACAGAAAAGGAAGGAAAAGCAGCAGGGATCAGAATGACCGGCCCACTGACGGATGAGGAGGTTCGCATGTAGATGTCAGCGTTAGGATAATCCGGTGGAGCCTATCCTCTCGTCTAGGCTGGTCGGGGCGTGTGTCGGCCGCGTTCACAGTTCTCTTTCTGTCGGGGGATTGGGTGGTGCGGAAGACCGGTTTTTCCGGGGGGTTTTGAGTTGACGGAGGGAGGATGGGAAAAAGGCGTCGCAAAGGCCGGCAGTTCTGGGCAGAAGCAGATCGTCAATGTCCGGGAACGCTTTTCGAACCGGCTGCAGAATGTAAAGTGCAGGGGAAAATGGGTATTCTAGAAGGGAGAAGGGGGGGAGGACAGACGCACCTCGCAGTCTTTCTTTTTGGTTGGTCCCGAGGGGGATTAATTTGCTTCCTGTGGCCGCTTTCGTTGGCCTTGGAGCACTAGATAATACGAAGAACCACCATGAGTTGCAAGGTGGTGATGGAACGGGAGTCTACTTTGATGGCGGGAGATTTTTAGTGAAGAGAGTCAGTCCAGCAGGTGACTCTGGGGCGGCCCAACACCGACGAGCCGCTGATCCAGTGTTCCTCCTTGTCCGATCCCTTCTTCCTCTTTCACTTCCGGGGTTGCCAGTAGTTTGGCTCTTACTACGGATGCTGGCGCAAGGCCGCGGTGCAGAGACGGCAAAACCAGGTGACGGCCGGTATTGCTGTCCGGTATGACCCCTTAGGACGCTTTGGCCTGGGGTACGGAGAGACATGGAGGCATTCAGTTGTCGAAATCCCCCAGTCAAATATGAGCGTCGCTGAATAGCACATCCTCAGCCCAGTAGTATTCACTCCATGTCCCTGCCTCGATCATGGCCATTGTTTCCATGTCCGGGCCACGGGAGGGCTCCAAGTCTTCTCTTCCATCATGGTCCAGCTGCACTGAACTCTGCCTTTGCTCCTACCCCTTCTTGCACTTCTGCCAATGATGATCTGTCTTGGATTCATGTTCGGGTAATTCGTCTTTCCTCCAATTTTTGTCGCGTAAAACATCACCATGTCTTCCCCAACCTTTTACAGGCTCATCACCTGCATATAGCGCTTTTGGTCGCTGGCTGGAAGAGGAAGCATATCCTTCCCACAACAGAACACACCTATCTACGGGGAGCAAATAAACCGCAAATTGACAAACATTGACAAAAATGATCAGAGCAAACACCTTGCCCAGGCGAGTTGTAGTAGCAGCACCGACGCAGATGGATGAGTCCGCAGTGTTCAGTTGCGGCTCACCAGATTAGTTTCTTGCCATCAGTGGGTGTGGTGTAACAAGTTGAGCTATCGTAGGCGCCCAAAAATGCCCAAGCGCCGTTCACTGCTTAACGTATTCAAGGCCCGCATGCTTCCTGACAATGATCAAGGAACAAGAAGCAGAAGGGGTCGATGTTGAAAGACAGCGGTGCAAGTCTTCGAGATACCGAAGACATAGGGTAGTCGAGCCTTGTGAATGGGGAAAATATCAGGTATCATAGAGGACAATGTCATCCGTCTAATTACTCAAGTGCTCGACGGTCGGCGACCTGACTTTGGCACACCACGTCGAAACCATGTTTGAATCCTGGGTAAGAACCGAAGGTAGGCTCTAGCTATATCACAAGCCACGCCACAGATACAGATAGTTGTACTCACACTCATCCAATTTCTGGAGAGCATACGGTTAATGTTTGCCATGTACGTACCTGCCGTTGATGTTTGGGGTGAAGTCATTGAGCCTCGAAGAACTCCGGGGAAATCCGGCATCTAAGCCTACCCAGCAAACACATGGCCTGCCAACCATACTGGTTGTGAGAGCAGAAAGAGATTATTTCCCAACCATCCTGAAGTAAATCGGCCATCAAAAACCACTTGCGAAAGCGATGTTTATCAAGGGTACCGTAGAGGATCGAGACGTGGCTGTTCATGACGTGTATGTAGGCGGTGGAGATGCGGGCTTTAGGTGAGGCACTCCCAGTCCAACTCAACCGAACACATCGTAAACGTACGTGGCTAGGACCAACCCTAGCGGGCCGAATAACGTGCAAAGAGGCCCTAAAGTCATCTTTATTGCTCCAGGGGCCTCCAACCAGAGCTTATTCGCAACGAATTATCAGAGGACAGGGGCTGGTCGGTACATGGACTCTTGTTGACTTTGGTGACAGGTCAAGGGTGACCGTAAGCTTGAAGCAACGGAGGGAATGCCGCCCGCGGTCACGTGGTTCGGCACCGGATTAGCCTGGTCTCCGGGGCTCGATAGTATAGCCACCAAGATTATGGACTATATAAGTTTGTTGTTGACTTGCTTTAGAAAGAACGCTTAGAGCTTATGACTTACTACTCTTCACAGTTGGCTAGCGGGGATATAGCTAATATAAATTTGCAGTATGATTGTCTGTTGTATTCTAGTATAGAGCTTCGCTGATTGGAAGTTGAACTAAATCTTTCCTGTTGCACTGCAATAGATCCTGCTCTAAATCCTGCCTAGAGGCTATTTCAAATATTGTATTTTCATTACCATTGGCTGGGCTACTATTCTCTGGTTTAATTACCCTGCTGAGCGAGAAATACTCTGCTTATTTACTAGTACTTTGATAGCATGTAACCTATCTTGCCAGTACTTGGTTCTAAAAAGACTTCGTATACAATCTAGAGGAAGAGACTGGAAAGACTGCTAGCAGACATCAACACTCTAATCTCATGTTCTGGTAGTTCTTGAATCTTTTCTTTGTTATACATATTCTTCACTAGCAGGGACTATAAAACATATTTGCTTCTTTTCTTTGATATTCTAATTTCCTTACTGACTCCTAGACTAGTCCCCAACCCCTACTGGTATTGAGCAATCACCATATTTATAAGTTCATTAAGAAAGACGCCAACAATCTGGTGTTGCCCAATACCTCCCAGTTTTACTTACAAAACATCCAGAAATATATGCCGATGCAAAGAGATTTCGAGCTCTACTGCCAATGCTCCCCTCCAACCCGCTTACCGAGTATGCTATCCAACAGCTGCTCGGGAGGATTTGCAGATGAGAAGTCCTATACGGTGCTAATCCCATTTGAGTCTGCACGCCATTTTAGCAGATCTTCAGTTCAGACCTATCATCAATCATCTGGTTGATCGATCCGATTCCCTCTTTTCTTGTGATATAAATAGCCCGTATTCCCTCATACTCCTCACGAGCACCCCCTTGTCTTGCACAGACAATTCTCCATATTATTACCACCACCACCCTTACCACTCAAACCGCATCATGATTGTCAGCGGACTTGAAGTCGTCACCCGCCAACTGGTGCGGAATCTCCGCGGTGCCACCCAACAACAACCTTGCGGCATTGATCTCACCCTTCGTCAGATCTCCAAATGGACCTCCGCAGCGACCATTGACTTCGATAATACGAAGCGCCAGGCAGCCAGAACCTCTATCTTGCCGTTTGATAACACAAGTCATGCCATTAAACTGCCACTAGGCGCTTATTTGGTCGACTTCAACGAAACCGTTCACGTTCCACGGGACTGCATGGGCAGCATTTTCGCGCGGTCATCCCTCTGGCGTTCTGGGGTGGGGATTACGGCGGGTGTTGTCGACGCCGGTTATGAAGGTGCTCTCGGTGCCCTGATGGAGGTCAAGAATCCCCACGGCGTCGTTCTGTATCGAGACGCCAAGCTCGCGCAGATTGTCTTTGAGGAGTTGAGCAAAGAGGTGGAAGGATATAATGGTATCTACCAGGCTTCCACGAGCAGTGTTGGGCGTGATGGAACGGGTCAGACTTCAAACACTCAAGCAAGGGATACTATACTTAAAAGATGAGGCAGGCATTGGAACACTCACCGAAATTGTTAGCTAGACCGGCCACTCAGGTTTGGCATGGAGTTTTCTTCCCCCGTACCATCGATTTTGAATTTGACCAGCGATTACCAAGTGGATTACCTCTACAATGCGTCGCCACTGGCATAATTGGCCCCATTACCATTCTCCAGCTTGGTGTGCCACTGATATTAATAGGTTGCTTTTGGAGGAGATCATAATGTATCTGAACTAGGCATATCTAGAGAAGACAGGAAAAAGAATATTAGCTCAAATGACTCCAAGAATGAATATGGAGGGAAAGGTATTCTTGCTTCAGTATAAAGAAAGGATTTTTTTATTACCGTAGAATTGAACATGGTGAAATTTCAGCATATAATTGGACTAGATGAGGTTCACTAATAAAGTCTGTATCTGCAAGAGTATGTCGAATCTACAGAGTTGCTAGAGCAGATATGATATGGCACTATGTTAGAGAAATTGCAAAACTAACCAAAAAGAGAAATAGTAGAGAGAGTAGCCGAAATACTGTACTTGATGTAGGTTTGTAGGGTATACAAACAGGAGAACAGCTAGTTAGAATGATATGATGTTGTTGGCATCCACTGGAGCCTGGCATCACCTGATCCATCGCCACCTCTGCCCATGTGGTCCCTGCTCACTACCACCATCACACCGTATCTTGACCATAGACACAGACAAGGACTTATTCCCTGACCTACCTATTGAGACATAATGGCAATACTAACGGCTTATTATCAACCTTTTCTGTTTCTTAGCACTCGGACTCTATAACTAAGGTGCCGATAGCACTCAGTCTTGAAGAGAACTGATCAACGCCGTATTCGATACTGTGAATCTCTCAATGAGTATTCATCCTCATGTAAGTATTCGTGACAAATGCTCTCTGACCCACTGCTAACCTTCTTACTGGCGAACTTACTGGCGAAATACACAGCAAGTCTGGACACTGGTGAAGCATATAATCTTCTTTCACGGGATTTACAGCTTGTCAAATATCTATGGCCTGGCATCGCCCCCTCTATGATCTCCAGAACTCAACAATTGATATCCTAGATATGGTCTTTCCCTATAACAGCAATTTCTATCGCTTTTTTTCGGCACCTCAATGTGGATCAGACAAGCCTTCTCCCCCCCCCGGGCGCCTCCTTCTCTCTCCTTGTTTGAAACAGGTCTGCGAACTGCGTGCCAACAATACACCGTTCTTGTGGTTCTCCCCATCCACAAACCAGCACTCGCAAGTGTTCGTCCGATACCTTGGAGATGAGCAACTACTTTGACCGCCATATCCTTTAATTAGCGTCGTAAAGCCTACAATCAATGGTTCCTGCATGGTGATGGGGTGCATTACGTGGTTCCCGAACTAAGCATTTTCTTTAATGAGCAGGCGATGCCCCACAGTGTTTGACGATTGTGATAGCTAAATCGCGTTGCTGAATGGTGATAGGTCTGAGATCTATCATCGCTCCTGGTATACGTTTGGAGTATGTTAGAGTACTGAACCCATTGTGGATATTTGTCGTCATCAACGGTGCCGTCAGTGCCGTGCAGTAATTGGACGTGGGTCTGAAAGAAGCACACTTTAAGCTTACCAGTGATAAGATCATAAGGTCGTTGGAGGTCCACTCATTCGTGACCTCCAACCTCCGGTTTTGTCAATTGACGAGCTACAGATTCCACCATCTACTTTTAGTCCACACTTCCCTTGTTTCTTCCCGTGCATCCGCGGTGTTCTACCGGCGGAGACTAGCCCTCGTTAGGCAACAATCGGCACATCTCCCGTTTATCAACGACAGAGCGAGTGGGGGATCTCTGTCTAACCTAATGAACAGGATAGCAACACCCTCTAACTGGAACGCTGCTTTACTGCGAAGAGCATGATATCCGCTTTTGTCTCCAACGATCAATCTATATGGCTCGGAAAATGCAGGTACCGGGCTAGGCTTTCCCCTCCTTTCTCGGTTGGAGTAACCGTTCCTGGGAATAGTAGCTGACCTTGATTTGATGCGGCCGACGTCTCACGATCTCCTTCTGTAGATATATAAGCAGTTCTCTCACTCTGTTTGTTTGAATTTCAAACCATCAGACTTCTAACCGTCACTCTTTTATCAGTACAACCATTCTTTTCCTACTTGATATAACACCCCATGAAGTCTGCTACACCTCTCCTCGCCGCAGCCGGCGTGGCTGCAGCCAAGAACTGCAGCGTTGACACCATTGCTCGATTCCTTCCCAAGAATGCAACTGTCTTTTACGCCAATCATTACGAAAAGGGATATAACTTCACCCCTCCCATTGAATACAACTATGGCCTGACCTCCGACCCCATGGGCATCAGCGCCTATGAACTTCCTCTTGCCGGCTGTGTTGCCCAGGCCAACATCTCCCTGCCCAACAACACCCAGCACAGCGTCGGTCTAGTCCTACCCGACGAATGGAACGGTAGATTCATGGCCGTCGGCAACGGCGAATTCGCCGGATCTGTCGGCTGGTCTTCCATCATCAACACCATGTGGTACGGCTTCGCCAGTGTATCAACTGATACCGGCCACGAGGGCAACAACGGAAGCTTCGGATACCACAACGAAGCTGCCCTCACCAACTGGGGCTACCGCGCCCTCCACGACGCCGTAGTCAACGGAAAGAAGGTCACCGAGGGCTACTACGGAAAGGACATCTCCTACAGCTACTACCGGGGTTGCTCCGCCGGTGGCAAGCAAGGCTTCAAGGAAGTCGAAATGTTCCCCGACGACTTCGACGGCGTAGTTGCCGGTGCACCAGCCTGGTGGACTTCTCACCAGCAGCTCTGGAACGTCCTCACTGCCATCTGGAACCTCCCCGAAACCGCCGACTACCACGTCAGCGACGCCCAAATGACCGCCGTCCAGGACGAGATCCTAAAGCAGTGCGATCCCCAAGACGGCCTGAAAGACAACATCATGCAGAACCCCTTCGGCTGTGTCTTCGACCCCGTCCCCGTGATGTGCAACGCCACCTCCTCCAACGACACCTGCGTGACCCCCGCCCAACTCAAGACCGTCAACAAGCTCTTCAACCCCTGGTACGAAGCCAACGACACCCTAATCTTCCCCGGCTACACCCTGGGCACCGAAGTCGGCGCCCCCAGCCTGGACGACGACTTCGTCACCTACATCCAATACATGCTCCAGATCGGCGGCGACTGGACCTGGAAGGACTGGAACCCAGACCTCGTGGCCCTCTCCGACAAGATCAACCCCGGAAACGCCACAGCCGACGACTTCGACATCTCCCCCTTCTACAAGAAGGGAGGCAAGCTCCTCCACTACCACGGCTACTCCGACCCATCCATCGCCACCGGCTCCTCCGTCTACCTGTACAACCACATCCAAGAAGCCCTCCGTCCCCAGGACATCCCAATCGACGACTTCTACCGCTTCTTCCTGATCCCCGGCATGGAGCACTGCACCGGCACGCCGTCCGACCAGGACGCTCCTTACTACATGAACGGAGACAGCCAGGCCTCTTCTCTCTCCGGAACCGTGTTCGGCGTTCCCGGATTCAATGACCCCAAGCACGATCTCGTCCTGGCTATTATGAACTGGGTCGAGAACGGCACTGCCCCTGACTATCTCATCCCGACTAAGTTCAAGAACGATGATGTTGCTGATGGCGTCGACAAGCAGAGACCGATTTGCCCTCATCCCCAGCTGGCTAAGTACAAGGGCTCTGGTGATGTGGATAAGGCTGAGAACTGGTACTGTGGTACTCTTTACTAGGGAGGATGTCTTGCTTCTTCTTAGGTGTATATTTTAGGGAAGTCTGCTTTGGCACTTGCTTATATGTATATACTGGCTGGGACCTCGGATTCTGTATCATAACAGTGTAGTAGATGCTTGATACACTTTCGTAATATAAAATGTCCAAAAATGCTATCTGTACTTCTTGTTTTACGTGATTCACAGTCGCAGTATCTGGAATTGGTGCGGGCATAGGTTAGAAGGATACATTGCTTTGCCTTCAACCCGAGTTAGCCATACAATTGAATGTCAATAAGGGGCTTTCTTGGCTTAAAGGTCTAGATGGTAGTTATCTAATACATAATTGAGAAGTCGAAGACTTTGATCATCGACGACAAACAAAGAAGTATCTATTCCCAATACTACCTTGACTTGATACTTCTCAAAGATACGTGGCCATTGAACCAACATCCTTCGTCGTACCTAATTCTAGATCTCCATGTGTATGGCTTAGAGACGCCCAATCACGTCTTACTATACTTTGAACGCAATGACGCCAGTATCACCTCACCCAGTCCTCCAATAGTACCCGCCTTGCTGATAGCCGTCAGAGGCAACACAACACCTATGTTGCGACGAGACCAATTGCGAATCTCAATTGTCATCAGAGAATCAATAGGCAATTCCACCACCTGATCGTAGCCGAGGTCATGGGCAAACTTAGAATACTCCTGTATACATTTGATCGAGTACTCAAGTATCGTGTTGGCCATGCCATCGGTGTCGAGATCCTCAGGTTGTCTTTCGATTAATGCTAGAAAGTCCCGCATGGCTGCTGCATTGCTCAGGGACGACAGTGCTGGGCCTCCGTTGACGTCCTCGTCGAAATTCCGGTAGATGCTAAATCGCGCATCTTGTCCCCAAAGCGGACGGACCGAGAGGTCGGTCAGGGATTTGGTACTGCTCATACCAACGATGATATTGTTTGGCGATCTGATGGTACCATCAGCTGTACGCAAGGCAGCCCTTGATTGACACTTGAGAATAGCGAGTTCGAATGCGTCCAGAACTTCCTGCTCCTGCAGAAGGCGTACGGATCCAGAGCTCATCCTCTCTCGTAGTTTTGGGTCTTGTGTGGCGATGTATCCTACATCTCCCACGGCGCCGAGGTTGACGACTGAGGCGGGAAGCCCAAGCTGCAGGCGATACTGCGTGAAGGAGGTCAAGAAAGCATTGGCTGAGGCATAATTGATTTGACCCGGGGTACCCAAGACACCTGTAATGGAACCACAGAGAACAAAGAACCTCAGGTGCGCATCGCGACCTTGTAGCGCATGATGCAGATTCCAGGTGCCTGCAACCTTGCAGGCCAACGCATCTTGCCAGTCCTTATGAGTCATATTTTGGATAAATTGGTCCTAACCGATTAGTCTTTATGTCATGGCATTAAAGGGGAGTTATATGCTTACCCGAAGGACCATCGATAGTTGGAGGATTCCACCGATAGGGCGAGGGCATGAGCGAATGACGGCTTCTACATCCTCCAAAACCGACACGTCGGCTTTGGCCAGTACAACCGTGCATCCCTGGATCTCCAGTTCATGGGCGAACGACTGGTCTCGGTCAGATGTGCCTGCGGACCGCGAGAGGAATATCAAGTGTCGGGCACCCTTCTCCACCATCCAGGTCGCAAGTGTCTGTCCAATGCCCCCTAGACCGCCGACCAGAACATAGGCCAAGTCGGGTGAAAGGCTTGACTGTCTTCGTGACCGAGCAACATTGAGGCCATTGGTATTCCTAGGCATTCTTATCAGGATTTTACCAATGTGGAGGCCGCTTTGCATGTATCGGAATGCCTCTTTGACATTGCAAGCCTCGAACACCTTCAATGGGCGGATTGGAGATATTTTGCCTTCTTCATATAGATCCATCACTCGAGATGTCAAGCTGTTAGGCTAAGGTCAGCTGCAGTTTATCACACTGGAGTATGAATCTACTTACCTTGCAAAGGCTCCAGTCTTCTGCCCCAGCCTTACAAGATCCACACCAAAAAAGGCCCGGTTACCCCCAAAAGCATCCATTGGCAATTTTCCATGCTCGAGGATATCTCGCTTACCAATCTCTATCATCTTACCAAATTCTGCAACGCATGACCATGATGCATGCAACAGCTCTCCAGCCAGCGAGTTGAGCACAATGTCAACCCCGCGGCCACCCGTTTCACGTAGTATTCCCGGAAGGAAACTGCTGTCTCTCGAATTAAAAATCCGATGTCGCGGGATATGGAACGTATTGACAAGATGCAAAGCTTTCTCCTTGCTGCCAACCGACGCATATATCTGATCGATGTCAGTGCCCCCATCATCCTGACCTTGATGAAGTGACGTATGGACTTACTTCGGCACCAAGCATCTGGCACAAGTTGATCGCAGCCAAACCAACACCTCCACATGCTGCATGGACCAGCACAGACTATAGAGAGTAAGCTCTTCGCTTCTTGAATACCAGCACTGATTAGGATCGGTAACCTACCTGACCCTTTTCTAGCCGAGCAATGTCTGTCAAGCAATAGAGGGCTGTTCCGTATGCCACAGCCATTGAAGCAGTATCCTCCAAGGAACGCCACGCTGGTAGACGCACACAGCTGGAAACAGGAACACACACGCGCGAGCAGAAAAGCCCAGGCTGAAGCAGCATGACCTTATCGCCAGGCTTCACTTGCTCCACGCCGCTGCCACATTGGCGGACAATGCCACTAGCTTCTACCCCAAATTCATCTTTGCTCGCCATGATTCCCAGTTGGATCATGATATCCTGTTCCCCAGTCAATCGTCTTTCAATCATATACACGTCGAGGATCACGTACTCTGAAGTTCAAGCCAACATAACTGACATCAACCATAACTTCGTGTGGCCCAGGAAGACCGAGCTCATGTTCAACCCAACCAAGAGAGTTCATTGAACCGTATGTACTGACGTCTAATTTGATGGGAGCTGTTGGATCCGGCTCCCGGAGAAGACAGTCAGATAAGGACTCCCAATGGAACCTCGGGATGTAAACGGTCCCATTTTGCAAAGCGAATTCGTAGTCTATGTCGTTTGTGTCTTGACCATCAGTTGCTTCGAAAAACTTCTCGCATACTCTCAAAGTAGGCCTAATTGCAGTCTCGTTGAATTGGTCTATCTGAAATGTACCGAAATGAAGTGCTTCCTCTTGTCGAACTGTTCGTGATGCACCGAGTACAATCCCGAATTCAGGATCATTGCACCCGAGTTCGACGGACGGGGTAATCCAAAGGATGCGAGGAGAACACTTGATTAAGCACTGAAACCAGCTCCAGCTCTGTGTGCCTATGTCTTTGAAGAAGGGCTTATCAAGATCCAAAAAGGAAATAACGCATTGATTAGGAGGTAATTCTTCTCCAAGCATGCATCGCTCGGTGTGATAGCCTGCCTGCTCAAGTACGGCTTCCACATTGCATATCCACGGGTGATCGTGTCTCTTAGTCGTGCATAGAAGGTAAATTGTCTTTCTTCTCTTCACTGCATTCCAGTCTGAGATACGTGAGATGATATTGTAGTGCAATGGATATGGAAACCTAGCGTCGTATGAATATGCTTCAACCCCGGTGAACCCTGCCTGCAGAAGTGAGTTGTGCCATGTATCAATGGGATGACAGTCTCCTAGCTGGGCGTTGAGTTTGCCACACCCAGCCAAAGATAATAACCTCTTGAACATAATCAGTCTTATTGTGGTATTGGCGAAATCGCTAGCCGACTTACGGATGCACTTTCCATGACAGGGAAATCTTAGAACTAGTTAGCACATGAATAATACGTAGCCGATGTTTGTAGGCTAACCTGGACTTGGTACATGGAGTAGAAGGCTCCCATTATTTGCGAGTAGTCTCTTGATGTGTTGTAAGGAATTTTCAAGTCCTGATTTATCAGGACATATCTTGAAGTCCGTTAGCTCAATGCTGCAAAACCCGAAGCTGGAACGCCTACTCTAGACACTATCACCAAGTCAAAAGTGCCTTCCTGAAATCCTTGCAATAGTGGATCTTGGGTGATGTCTAGCTGTTGGAAGTTAAGATGCTTATGACCGTCCAACTGACTTTTAGATTGATCATCGATCATACTCGTGCTAGTGACTGTATAGCTTGAGTATAGTCTTCCGCCTGTTGACTTGAGCTGTGCGAGGACTGAGGAGGTGAAAGAAGGCTCACGGGCTTCTATCTCGAGAACTCGTAGCGTCGGATTGGAATGTGAGACCAGAGAAAGCCAAGCGGACAGGTCGCTTGTGGGCGACATCTTGGAGCACTCTGCCAGACTGCGCAAACTTGATACTGATTCAGTGTCACAGAAGCCCCGGATGACATCCCAGGTCGAGTTTAAAATGCCCTTCAACAGGTCTGAAACATGCTTCAATCCCTCAGATTCGAGAGTCTCGTTTAAAGCTTCAACCTCCTTCAATAGATCGCCATCTTCTAGTGTTGCCCACGTTCTTGCCTCTTCGACAGTGGTCAGTTTGCCGGTTAGTATATTCTCGACCTGAGCTTGGATCCAGCCTTGATAGTCCTTTGACTTCTCCGAGAAGGTAACTGTATGTTGGAGAAGTCGATGTACTTGAATCATATTGATTGTTGAAGCTGCAATGATTGTGCGCACCTGTGAATCAGTTAAGCCTTTGAGACCAGAAAGCTGGTCCTGGGCTGTGATCAGATCCATGTCCGGGCGCCATTCGCCATACGTTGCCAAAGGAATGTTCTTGGACTCAGCTTTTATGCTGCTCTCCAATGGAACGAGTAGAACCCCTTTTATCGAGAGTATTCTTGTATTACCTTGGCCTGTGTTATCTATTAAGGTGACTTTAGTCTTGGGCTGGCTCACAGCGAGACTCTCCATAGACGCTGTCACCTTCACCAACAGTCGGTTCCGACCGATCTGAATAGTATCCACAAACACAGGAACGTGAGGCCTTGAGTCCTGCATTGATTTCCCTTTTGAAGCTGCGACACTGAGGAGTTGTAAGCCTTTGTCAATCGTAGTAGGGTGTACAGCATGGGTGTCTTCAGTCCGGAGGACTGCTGTTGCTCTGTAGCTTAAGGGATCTGCTCGAATGCTCTCTAAACCTCTAAAGGCGGGTCCATACTCCAAACCAAGTTTCCGCAACTCTTGGTATAAATAGTCTGAAGTCACGGGCCGTGCGCATTCATGAGTTGAGTCCAAATGCAGATCAAGCTGTGCTGTGCCAGCTGCGGCCTGACATACAGCATGTTTGACCCACTCAATACCGTTGTAGGACATAATGCTGAATTCGTAGGATGCAGAGGCTACTCGATCACTAATTTTGACAGGCTTTGCGCTTGTTACAATTTCCATCTTTTCCCATTGGTGAAGTAAAAGAGGAGCCTGAATGCATAGGTTCCGGATAGTGCACTCTTGCATGCCAGATATCTGACGGACTGCTTCGTTGATCATCCCAATGTACCCTGCGCATGGAAATTGGGTTTCGCCCATTACACAATGGTCACCAAGCCATGGCACATCGACTAGGCTTAGTAGATTTCTCCAGGATGGTTCAATATCGCTGGATTCTAGCGTCCGGGAACCTAGAAGTTCATGGCGTGGATGCTGCCGGAATCTCCAATTTCTACTGAGTCGACTTTCCTTCCAATTCAAACTCTGGCGGTCCCATGGATATGGCGACAGGCAGCTAACAAAATGGCCTTTGCCATTGATTGCTTCCAGATCAATAACAAATCCAGTTGAGAATAGCTCTCCAGCCACTTGCAATAAGCAGCGTGCTTGGTCTTGATCAATCAAAAGGGTGGGAATGTATTTGTTCGCTTGCGATGTATGCCGAGCAAGTATCTGGCGCAGAGGTGCTGAGAGCGAACTGTGGGGTCCGACTTCGATGAAAGTCTTCGATATGTCTTTCTTAGCAGCAAGGAGAGACTCGACAGCTCTGGCGAAAAGGACTGGAGACTCAAGGTTGGCTGCCCAATAGCCAGCGCTAAGCTGAGTGGGATCGTTGACTACCGAGCCCGTAAGTGTCGAATACAACGGTATCATGTTATCATTGCAAACGATATAAGGCTCAATCAAGTCTCTAAAGACAGTCGCCGCTTGCTTCATATCGGCTAATGTCCAGGTCAGTAGATGTTTCGCTCAGAGAGTGCAAAAAGGAAGCTAACGGGAATGGTAAGCCACGCGTATAGGCAGCAATTTGCTGAAAGTGTCTGAATCATCAGCCTTGATCTGATCCACAACAGCTGCTAGACTTTCTCGGTTGCCAGAGATATTGACCGTCTCAGGGCCATTCTCACATGCCACCACGAGTCCATTTTTGAGATACTTCTTAACAGCATTTATTCCTAGGCCAACAACAGCCATTCCTCCTGATAGTGGGCAAGACATAGCGCAAAGGCCTCGGTAGTAGGCTACGATTATGGCCGTTCGAAGGGGAATCGCTTTCGCCGCATAAGCAGCTGCAACCTCACCACTGGAATGGCCAATTACTGCCGCAGGGTATATGCCCCAACTTTCGAGAAGATTCACCAATGCAATCTGCACTGCAGCGGATAAAGTCTGTGAAAATACAGGCTCCTCCATCTTCTGTGGGTCTTCCAGCGTTTGGAGTTCATCTGCAACTGTTAGTACTAACGGAGACCCGATGTAGCATGTCGAATAGCAATGGCAAAAGAGCGTGCTTCTTACCAGCGATGCTCCATGTGGGCGGCTCTGGCAACTCTTGCAATATTTGGTCCATAGAGAGGCAGTCGAGCTTGAAACCCGGGAACGCATCCATCAGTTCTCTCCCCATGCCGCACCACTGCGAACCCTGTCCGGAGAATGCAAATATTATGTCGTTCGTGCGGGAAGTAGATGCATTTCGAATCAAACAAGGTTCATCAGTAGTATTATTACCATTAGCCACCATATAGGTACGGTAAGGAAGGTGCTCACGACACGCTCCGAGGGTGTGGGCAACATCAGAGATGAGGGAAGGCTTCTCAAGTATGTATGCTCTCAATGCTTCGCAGCGAGCCTGGAGTGCTCTTTCGCTTGCAGCAGAGACCACAAGCAGGCGGCTTCTATGAGGATGTCCCGAGACAGACTCTGTAGCCTCATCCCTCGGGGTAGGCCATGAGTCCAGAATAACCTATGGGATGAGTGAGCTATGCGGCCTTCTGAACTGGTCATTTGGCGGACTCACATGTGCGTTGGCGCCACCGATGCCGAACCCGTTGACGCTGACTCGTTCCTTCCGATCAGAAGGCCATGGAATTGGCTCAGTAGGAACTGTCAAGCGTCCTTTCTGAAAGGGTACTTGTGACATACAGTCAGCCTAGGTATTGGTAAATCAGTCGACAGAGTAAATTCTCACTCTTGGGATTAGGTTGGGCAAAGTGCATGTTTGGTGGAATGATGCGACGCTCCAGGGACAGTATAGCTTTTATCACTCCTGTGAGACCTGAGGCACCTTCCCCGTGACCGAAATTGGTTTTCACCTAAATACATCTGAATTAGCATCGACGATAGATGTTGTAGCGCATTTGGTGTAGTACCGATCCAATGTACATTCCTCGTGAACCAAAGAATCGGGCAATCGCTGTTGTCTCGACTACATCTCCAATTTTGGTGCCAGTACCGTGACATTCGAAAAAGCCCGTTTCTGAAGGGTCTATAATTTGCGCTTTTTGGTAAGCTTTTCGTATCAATCGCTCTTGGCTTTCGATGTCTGGGGCAAAAATCTTGGCCGACTGCCCATCATAGTTTGCCGATGTTGCCCTAATGACTGCACGTATGTTATCCCCGTCTGCGATTGCTCGGCTCAAGGGCTTGATATAGATTGCATTAACGGCCTCTCCTCTCCCATAGCCATTAGCTCTAGCATCAAACGTCTTGCAATACCCATCCGGGGATAGAACAGTGTTGTCCGACATGTTGATTGTCATAGATGGCGTTAGAATCATATTGGTTCCGGCTACAATGGCGGAGGAACAACTACCATCGTTTAGGGCCTGACAGGCCTCATGAAGAGCTGTCAAAGACGATGAGCATGCAGTCATAATAGTCGCACTATTCCAAATTAGAGTGGCGAAATAAGATGGCATAGCCCTCCGTCGCGAACGATAAAGACCTACCTTGGGCCTTTCAGATTGAATTGATAAGAGACGCGGTTGGACAGTGTGTACGCCCCATTAGCAAAGGCATGCACGCGAGGTATTGACAGCGTCTCTTTTGCTGCGAGCTCATGCCAGTCTTCGCCAAAAACACCAACATAGCAGCCAATATCTTTGCCATTCCAGCCTGTCTGGCCAGCATTTTCCATACACTCCCAAATGACCTCCATCAGCAAAGTCTGTTGCGGGTCCAATTCGTCCATTTCAAAGCCAGGAATCGCCGGGAAGAAGTTCAAGTCAGCATTCCCGATGTAGTCATCTTCAAGGAAGTATCCTCTTCGCGTCCTCACTGCCCCGGGTTTATCCGCGCTATAGAACCCGTCCACATTATATCGGCTTTGGGGGACCTCTGATGAACAATCCCTTTTCTCGATAAGTGCGTCCCAGAACTGCTTTGCCGTTCGAACGCCGCCGGGAAGGCGCATCCCCATTCCCACAACCGCGATTGGTTGGCCGGAAAGGGCCGCAAAGCCATTCGTACTAGGCTTCTCATTGTTACTGATGTTCGGGCTATCGTTCACACCGTTCTTGGTCTGGAAGATTGCAAACTCGTGAGCGATCTGCGTGGTAGAAGACTGTAGGTGGATATGATGGTAGTCTACTCACCCCCATAATCGTCTAATGGAGCCTAGTGAGACACAAAAAGTCGTATCTCTGATCACAGAACGCCAGAAAGTTAATCCTTGTTAGAGGTGCAGTATTTCGGGCGCTGGAATGTGGTGCGGCTCCGGCTGTGTATATCATTAGCCTGTCGCCAAATCAATTCCTATACTGAGTTGCCTGCCAATGTTTTCTTAATTAGCACTCCTTCCATCCAGGCATTTGGGAACAAGGCCGACATACGCAGTCCCCTGCATGAAGTCCCCCGCACTTGAGTATTGAGTGGACTCAATGCTGGAGGCCTACCAAGTTCGGGCTCTGCTATTTTGCAAAATAGCTCGGGATCCATACCCCGTTCATGGAAGCACCAGCAGACTACGTCCAGACTAGAAGAAAGGGGAAAATGAACTAATTGAACTCCACTGCATGAATGATATTCCTAAGCCACTCTTAAGAAATTCTGGTGGGTAGCCCTAACAAGCCATGATCCGCATGCAAATATGTAAGGGGCTTTCCCATGGAATCCATCCCTGGTAATTTCTCAAGCGAAGAAGTATAAAGCCGTAGTCAATGGCCACCACGTCGAACCTTGCAGAGTACATTAAACCCTGCATACGAAAGGACCTATCGGGCAATTACACACATCCAACTCACCGTTTCACCCACGATGCTCTTCCGCAACATTGCCTTCTACCTCACTGCTGGGGCCTCTCTCGCAGTATCCCCTGTGCTGGGCGCCAAAGACATCAATCAAGCTGTCTCGGATATGAACGACCTTACCACATCCATCAAAAATGCCCGACAGTCCCTAGATAACTACCAGGGAGGGATGCTTCCCAGCCTCAAGGTTAAAAGTTCGGTGCAGACAGCCAAGGGTGCCGCCCAGAAAGCTCGCCAGAACCTAGCTGAGCAAGACGAGCCTTTCAATGATGATGAGGCCGAGCAATATTACCAGGCCTTCCAGGAAATGTGCCCGGAACTCCTGGACGCAGTGAAGTCGTCACAGAACAAGGTATGGTGCCCTGGGCTCCCCCGATGACTCTGATTCAATGCGCTAATATCTTTCATGTACAGGCGCCTCTATTCAAGAAGGCTGGGGTGGCCTCATCTGCAAAGGCGACCCTTGATACACTCCGGGATGAGCGGTCCAAATTTGGAGAGGAAGCCCAGAAGCACGTCCCTGCGGACGTCTATGCTAAGGCAACTCCTTGTTCTGATCAGATCAAGCAGGCTTTTGAAGACAATGACAAAGCTCTGTCTTGAGGGAGGGTCTAGTCAGTTCTGAGTATGTAAAAGTCAACATACTCAGAAGGCGAGGGTCTTGTGTCAGGGATGGGTGTATTGGAGGCAATACTTCCAGTCCATTCGGTAGCTCCATGTATTTCACTGAAAGTAGTGGATGATGGTGACATCTGAGATTTGATTGCACGTTCCAAACTCCACTGAAGCGTAAAATAGGGAGAAGTCACGTCAAATGTAGTACCTTCCTGCATAAGTGCTAATCACGAGACACAGCGCTTACCCCAACCCGTAATTGTAGTTAGTGTGGTTATTTTGATTACAGTTACGTATTATCTACAGTAGCTGCTCACATTAGCTTAGATTACACATTACTTACCCAACAGCAGATATCCACTGAAGACTCAGCAGCCATTTGAAGTTTCTGGGCGCAAAGCAAGCTTTCCCGGGGGCTACACCACCGTCGATCCGAACCTTAAAGCACACAGCGCCCATTCCGAAAGCTACAAAGTTCTGATTGGCATCCCCTTCCCCTTTTTCTCCAGCCCTTGCATACCATGTGACTTGGCGTCTATTCCAGAGGGGGTCGGATAACCCTATTGGGTCAGGCGATGTTTGTTTACAAGTATCAAACCGCATCCAGACACTCAGTTGCATTCATTCTTTCAGGCTTATTCATAGAATGCTGTATACAGAATGGGAAGTATCTACATTAGCTCCAATGCCAGGCAATGTGAGACATCGACTCAATCTGGCATGATCTGCCACCGAAGATCTGTTCTCGAGGTCTTTAAATGTAGCTATCAAGATGCGTGTCTATCTGACAAGATATTGGTCAGATAATTTTATTATGCTGACCAGACAGATTAATGTGCAACTCAGATCAGCGGTCGTTGATTAATACATAAATTGCCACTACGGAGTATGAAAGGTTGGATATTATCATTTAAATTAACACTGAAGTATCTTGCTTTGCTTTTACTACATCAATTTTATTACCATAACTCCCATGTAAATCACCGACACAAAGAAATGATAATCAAGGGAAAAAAAAAAAAAAAAAAAAAAAAGAAAAGAAAAGAAAAGAAAAGAAAAGAAAACAATCGATCCACCCTGAACTACATACCACGACCTGCCTGCCAGACTAACATTCCAACGGGTACTTCCACCACACTGTAAGATCAATCAATCCAATCTCACAGCATCCATCCAGTTACCTCCATTTTGCGCCACATATTCCCTCATCTGCGCAACCCAAGACACCGACTTCCTATCCACAGGAAAGAAAACATGACCACGACCGCAAACAAAGAATTCCACATACATATCATGCGGACTCAGGCCTCTTCTTTTCAGCTCTAGCAGAATGCATTCATCGGGGCGGCGCAGCCTGACCCTTGTTTCTTCACCCACTCCCGCTCCACGCTTCTTGCCATACCACTCATACTGCAAACTGCCCGCGTCCTCAATCGGCACGCCGAAAATATTCCTTTCCCCCTGAGTAGCAGTTTCAGGTGCGTATTTCCAGCGCACATACTCAGCCAAAACATCCATAGGAGTCTGCAACACTGTTCCTTGGATATATTTATGTAGGAAGGTAAGGGTAGGCTGCGCCATGATGAGTCGTCGGATACTATTGCTTTGCTGGTCGCGCTTCTGGCGCAAATACATATCCAGTTGGACAAGGAAGAGTGTAGCGAGAAAGATGTCCCCATCTTGCCAGACGCACCGGTTACGGATCGTCCACTCCCGGCGCTCGTTGTCTGGGATATCCATCAAAGCCCAGATTTTCAGAATGGGTTGATAGGCTGCTGCCGGGAGGTTATAGCCAGCCTGGTGAAGGAGGACTATGATATCTAGCACAACGCTATCGCGGTATGAAAGCATTCGGAGCCATTGGATGGACGGCACGAGGACATCAAGGTTATGCTGGCGGTCTTGAGGTTGGAAAGTACGCCACTGTCTGGGTTGGGCGCACAATCGAGGATAACAGAGGACGGGGAAGGTAATGGAAGAGAGATGGTGGCGTGCTGCTGCATAGGTTGTGGTAACATGTCCGATATATGCGCAGAGGAAGTCGTGAAAAGGTTTAGATACAGCACCTATGTTGACTATATCATTAACGTCGAGGTACATGGTGAGGTCAAGAGCGAGTTGAGGGTAGTATGCGAAATGTCGCAGGAGGTCATACCCACCATGGGGGAGGATAGGAACTAGAAGTTGAGGGGGTGGCTGAACTCTAGCATTTTCATTCGAAGCCATATTTAAGGCTGGCGGGCCGATTACTCGTGGCTGATGTGATACAGTCCGGGCTTCTGGGTGGCCAATGGCTCGTGGCTGCTGCGGTATAGTACTGGCTTCCGGATGGTCGATGACTATTGGCTGCTGCGGTATAGTCCTGGCTTCTGAACGACCAAAGTCCGGTGGCTGCTGTGGCATTGTTCTGGCTTCCGGGCGGCGGATAATTGTTGGCTGCTGTGGGAGAGCCATGGTTCCTGGATGGCCGATGGCTCCTGTCTGCTGTTGTACGGTTTTGGCATCAGTCCCATCTGGGTTCAACGCACTAGCAGACACTGCTGGAATGACGTTATTGCTCGAAACTCTAGTCTGGGTAGCAATCTGCGGCCTTGCTCCCACTGTCCCGGCTGGCTGAAGGGGTATGGATGCCAACTGGTCCTGAGGGATTGGCTGAAAGCTGCCAGTGAATTGTGCAGGGGGAATTTTCGGCACCTTGATACCCTCGTTGGTTATCTGTACAATTGCCGGTGTTTTTACTTTTGTGTTGCTTCCCTGCTGACACATAGGTATGATGTTCTCTGGCTGAATACCGGCGATTAACTGCTGGCGGATTAGATATGCCTGCAGCGCTAATTGGGGGTTAATGTTTGCTCCCAGTTGTTGGGGTTGCTGTGCTGGCACTGCGGTGGATCCCTGTTGCTGGTTGGAATTCTGTGGAGGTTCGGAGATTTTCGGTGGCCCAGAGGGTTGCGAGACGATGTTTGAGCGCCCAGGGGGGAGCTGTGGTCGTGGAGGATGCTGTGGTCGTGGAAGATTCTGTCCTCGATGGGATTTCTGTGCCCGAGGGCGATTCTGCACCTGAGGACGATTCTGCACTTGAGGAGCGTTCTGCCCTTGAGGGGGGTTCTGCGCTTGATGGGGTTTCTGCGCTTTAGATGGCTTCTGAACTTGAGGAGGAATCTGTACTTGAGGGGGTTTCTGTGCTTGAGGGAGATAGTACTGTGCTTGAGGGTGGTACTGTGCTTGAGGGGAATATTGTCCTTGAGGAAGATACTGTGCTTGAGGGGAATACTGCACTTGGGGCAGATACTGTGCTTGAGGGAGATACTGTGCTTGAGGTGAATACTGCGCTTGGGGGAGATACTGCGCTTGATAGGGCAATTGTGCCGGATGAGCGAGCTGTTGTCGCTTTCGAGGAGAAAGCTGTGTTGGAGGAGTGATCTGCCTTTGAGGAGTGAGCTGTACTTGAGTGTAGCGCTGATCACAGCCGCTTGCATAAGCACCAGGAAGGCTCACTGTGCTCTGTGTGCTATGTGCTCTAGTATGACGAGCATCGCTGCACTGATTTGGTGTCTGATTGCTCTCTCTAGAGCCCGCAAGATAGAGCAAGCACTCAGCGGCATCCACATCTTCTTGGGTAGTGGGAGTAGTCATTTTGTGAATGTGTCGCCGTCCAAGGCCAATCAGAAAAGCACGAAAAGGCTGGCGCGGAGCACTGCAGTGATCAGTTGGATCCGCTTGTAGAACGGGGCTGA